CTGGAATAAATGGACGATTCCATTAAAAACAAATTGAATTTAATCCCAAACTTATTGTCTTCTTTTTCAAGATCTACATCATTTTCATATCACATCCCACTTGATGCCTATTATCATAAGCTTGATGCTTTTCAAGAAGTAATCAATATGTCAAAAAGTTATATGAGAACTCCATAATGTTGCCAAGCTTTGCCAATACAATTAATTAATAATCTTTTGATCCTCATGACAACAATGACAATGAAACTAAAATCAAAAAAGAAACCATGACGTCAATTTGTTATAACTTCTTCTATACTCAATTAACGATGAACTGAAATCTGTTGTTAATGAACTTTCTTAGAAAAAATAAGAAGACGGTCTGATTTTTGTGTCATTTGAATTTTCAATTTTTTTATTATTTTCACTTGATGTCCCAAAGTTGTTCATAAGTGACATCCCTTAAAAAAGAGAATGTTTTTCAAACTTCTTTAAATTTTCATTTTAAAATAAGTGTGACAAAGCAACAAACCCCAGCATTTAAAAAATCTTGGACATTACTTATGAACGAACCTCAAGCGCGCTAAGTAAAAAAGTCTTAAAAAGTTTGTTCTAGTTTTTGCTGAGAATAATGAGAGAATTAATGAGCAATGAAGTGCTTTCAAATGATTTTCAGTACTAACCGTGTTATGCTTTAATCTAATACAGCAAGGAGGTACAACAACACCCTTTTTATCTCCCACGACTCTATTAGTAATTCAATAATCATGCCTATAAATCACACATTTAATAATAATCTAATCGATATTTGATACATGTACATCTACAGCTTATTTCAAGAAATAGCTCCTCGAACTATACAATCAGCTGATCAATTTATCATTAACTTGATTGAAATCATAAAACTTATGATAATGTTTAACTAATTAATGAAAAATTATGATTATGATGATAATAATGAAGCTCCTGTTTATTGGGTTTTAATTAGCTTCTGTTAATTTTGTTTAAGCTAGTTTATCGTCATATTAATGAAATTGCAAATAAATAATTATAATAATTAGTGCGGAATGTCAATACTAATTGTGGAATGCATCAGATTAATCATGCAAATAGTGCAAGATAAACTTTTTAATTATTGATATGAAAAGTGGGTTGTTTGTGGTTTTTGAGGTATAGAAGTGACATCAAATATTTAAGGAAGTGTGAACTTATTGTAATAATAATGTGTGAAGGACCCATCCTTTCAGCTGGAGGCATTGATTGGAACCAAGTTATGCCACAAACTCAAATTGTAAGACACTTTTAATGTGTCTGCAAAGACTTGATTTTAATCAATTTCACTGATTATCTCTTGTAAGCTGAGTTTTAAGATGAAGACTTGAGTATGCTCTTGAAACTGACCTTTTAAGCCGAGCTTCACTAGTTTTTTAAGTGTGTCTAGAAACTGACACATTCTACTCGTATTTTCAGCTCAACTACAAACGGACTAGAAAAGTCAGCAGGCAAGCAAAGAAGTAGGCTGCCTCTCAAATCCTAATATGACTCTGAATATACAATATCCAATAATTAATAAGCTTATGTTTTGTATCTGCTCATTATCTGATTGCCGACATCAGCAATTTTTCAAAATATAAAACCTAATTTTATTGAATTAAATTAAACTAAAACTGAACATCTCATCGACAATAATGTTAATTCCTGTTTTTGTCGATATTCAATTCCATATCTCACATTCCGTATCTGCTTCATTCATTCGCTGTCTATTTCATTTACAATTTCATGTGATTGTGACGTTGCCAATAATGAACCGTACAAGCATACAGCATAAAATAACATCATTATTCCATGATGATAAATAAGGCATGATAACTTCATTTACATTTGCATGCATATTATCCCTATTCTATATTTCCGACATTTTCCAATTCCAATCGTAACTGCTATTAACGATGAATTTTCAATTTAAATTTTATCCACATTTTCTGGTGAGACTTTCATCGATTTTTAACAAAAAGGAACTAAATTTTATGGCACTGACCTCAAAAACAACTATAAAAAGTCATTAATTTTTGAAAAACTAAAGCTTCCAATTCAAATGAAATTCACTACAAAATGCAAAACAAGTTTGGCAGTCACATACACGAGAAAATGTAAATAGTCACAAGTGGATCGTGTTTTATTGGAGGTGAGAAAAATCAGTTTGTGGTCGAACGTATGAAAATGTTAATTTTCAGCTAAAACTTTATGCATATGCATCAGTTATTTTAGTAAAAAGAATTTTTTGTTGGGTTTTATTTGAATTGGGAATTCTAGTATTGATGGATGAAAGCTGTTTTGCATAGGTGTCCGTGGGTATCGGCTTTAATGTTTGTGATTATTATTTGGGTATTGGTGCCATTTGGAATTTGAATGGAAGAATCGATCTGCCATTACTAGGGGAAGGACTTTAGCCAGTGATTTTCAAACTTTGTGCACCAAAACTTTATACAAATGATCCTGGATTTACCACGATTTATCTAGTTTTTTAATTTAAGACTCAACGAAGAGTTTTTCTAGATCCCAATCTCTTTAGAGGCATCTATTCTACTTTATGAGTTGAAATGCAGTTCAAACTTAATGTTTTGAAAATCAAGCATGACACCAAACCTTTAAAATTGCGCTTTGTGTGCCTCAATTAACTGGAAAAGTATGAAAAACATAGCAATATTGTCTAGTGATTAGTTTATAGATTGGAAATCTGTAATCCTATTCTGTTGACTTGAGTTCGAATCTTAATGGAATTTATAGTTCGATTGAAGTTTTAGTGCAACAAATTATGAATACAACCCTTAAGCCTTCCAACTCTCATTGCAAAAAGTGAACAGCTCGAAAATCTAATCAAACTTTAAAAACTTTTACATGCCATGATAACCAGACCAATTTGACTCAGCGTCATCACCAAGAAGATTACAATTTTTATTTCATTTTCTAAACCAAACCGCTACTTTTTTGTCTCAAATTACTCGATGTCCACTCTCCACATTTTTCTGTTTTGTAAAACTGTTCGGACGTGATTGAAATCCATTTCATTCTGCATTGTCTGTGCATAAAACTTTTGTTAGAGTACCGAAAAAAAAATCAGGCAGTGGAGTGAGTGATGGTGCGCGGCACAAGTGAAACTTCATAATGAAAATACGATGTGATTTGAATAACAACAATGCATTGCAAGGCGAGAAAGAAAGCTTTTTTTCTGGTTCACATGTTGTTTTATGTGACGATCTCATCCACTCCACCATAAATGGATGCTGGTGCTTTATATCTCAGGATGTCTGTGTGCTTTTTATATTTCAAAAAATTTTGAGCACTGACAATAAATATATTCATGTGTATCCTCAAATATTTGATGTTAGTTCTCTTCCTGTTGTAAAGAGACTGGTTTATGCTGCTATGTCATACATACAGACATATTATGATACATTAATAATGATTAATGTCACACAAGTAGAATCAAAAACTGCAGATTTTCGCACGCTGGAATAAATTGAAAGAGAAAAGCTCAAAAATCAGCATAAAATCTTTGCAACATAAATTTGCCGATGCATCAACGTGTATCAACATTACACAACAAGCATATTGGCAATATTTGTTCAATGATAGATGTAAAGATAGATGCATGAATTGATAGCTTAATGGATTAATTATGGATTAAAAGCTTTTCTATTATCAATCCTGCATTTGCCGTAGTCATCAAGTGACTCTTTTGGTACGTGACAGGGGTCATTTGTAGATGACGTACATTTTTAACGGAAAATAGTGAATGTTGATTTTTCTGAAAAGGAATAATAAGCTGGATGTTCTGAAAATTCTATTTTTAAGGAGACGTCATTTATGAACGATCAAAAGAAATCATTCAAAGTACGGAATGGTAGCAATCAAGGCTCTGCGTCCTTATGTTTTACAATTACATAATCCATATCCAGTCGCACTCAATTAAATCTTTTTTTCTTTGCACCATATTCACGAATTGCATCCTTCTCCCCCTCCCCTCCTCCTCCCACTACAACAAAATAATATCCAAACAACAACAATTGCCCTGCTCGAGATTGAAACTGTCGTTAATTTTTTAAAAACTCATTCATTCAATAACGGAAATGACTATTATTTTGCAAAGGATCCAATCATCCCCTACTTTGATGTGGATTCAAATCTCTTAATCAACAACATTCAATTTTAAAAAAACTTCAAAAGAAAATCTCAGTCTATAGTCTGAGTCTAAAAACAGCACACAAAGGATGTCAACAACAACAATTACTGTCATAGCTTCAACTTCAATGCATGATCAACATATTGTTTGTTACAAAAATTGACATTATGGCTGCACAAAAACAAAAGAGAAGAAATTTTAAGGTGCAGAAAGATAGATGCAAGTGTCAGTGTCTCATACACAACTTGTGATGTTTAGATGCTGAATGACAATCATGTTGACGATGATGATGATAATAAAACATAAACAAGAATAACTTTTCATTGTCAGCATCTTTTCATCAAAATTGCAATTTTCCATGTTTTTGCTTCTTCAAAAATCACTTTTATGTCACAACTCACAACAGTTTGTGTGAATTCTCAATTTGTAGCTCTGAAAATTTGTTTTCTTGAAAATTTTCCACATCAGCTCATGTCTATAGATTTTATTTTATTTTTGTGTCTACGTGATGATGTTGCTTTTAAATTGATTTTAGTTTAAATAAACAAAAGGACTGAAAATTGAATCTAAGCTTCATATTGAGGGTACTTAAAGCTGAGGTGAGAGAAAATTTGTTTATGTAAGGAACAAATTTATAAAAGATTGTCTGTGTTGCTACATTGTTATGGAATTACTATGTTTTTTTGTTGCTTTAAAATCCTATCAAGTATTGCACAGAGATCATTTTGTAGAGATTTTAATACTTTCTGAAGATATACCTTAAGCTTCAAAACAAGAATTGGTAATTTTTCTGGACATTGTAATAGAAATTTGTAATTGATATCTTTTATAATTTGATATGTTCTTGGAAACATTGTTAGAGTTTGAAATTATCTGGTCTGATATTCAAGGTTGTGAGAATTACAAACAAAGTGGAATCTTTTGTATTAATCTGTAAGTAATTGAACTGCAAGAGCTAGAAGTGTAACCATAAAAAGGATTTTGGTTGAGGCAGTTCAATTTTGGTCAACATTTACTCGAACACAGAACATCGAAATTAGTACCTTTATCTTCGAAAGCGAAAAAACTATATTAGAAAATGATTTGTTTCTTTCATCAAATTTAGATTAAAAATGTAAATTTTTGGACTATGTTGATGAATTTAACATAATCATAGTTCTCAAGTTGTTCGTTTAATAAAATAAAAGAGGTCCAAAATGCATTAAATAGCTCAAAACTAGACATTTTCAATTTCAAACTTTTTTCGAACAAAATTTGGAAACAATCTTGCAAAAAAATGCGGGAAATTTCAAATTTCTGAGAAAATAACGGAAAACTTTCTCGTTGTCTTGTGTAACCATTTATTGATCAGCAGTGCCTCAAGCCCATCGCACATTATTAATATTACAACTAACCCATAGATCACCAGCAATTTAATCTTCATTTCTTATTAATATTTTATGACCTCCTATATCAAATTCAATTTAATTCAAAAAAAATCCATTTTTAGAATCTCCAAAAGGGGCCGTTCACTTATTACGTTACGCAAAAAAATCCATTTTCACCACTCCCTCCCCCCCTTGTTACAATATGTTACAACTCACAACCCCCCCCCCCCCTGAACGTTCATAATTTTATTTTATTTCTTTTAAATCTAAAAAGACGGTTAAATTTCTTTTGTATTTTTTTTTTCTTAAACATCAAAATACTGTACAGCTTAATAGGTCATGTTTTGATTGATACTATTAGTATTCTCATGAATTATTGGATTAAGATATAAAGCAAAAATTTGTTTTTTTTTTTTGAAGAAAATTCAAAAATGTCATGAAAAATATTATGCCCGATCGAATTTTGTAAAATTCAATCAACTTTGATATAAATATCACAATGATGGGCTCATATTAATCATCATATGAATGACAGATTTAGAGAGATGTACTTTTAAACTTATGATTGATTTAATTTTGAAAATTTCCACAAATTATGATTGTATTTTAAAGTCTTGTAAACCAGTTTTCTATTGATTTGTTACTTTACATAATAAAAACTATGTATTGCTTAGCTATCAAAAGAGATCTGGACATTTGAAAATCATTAAAAAGGTGGAAAAAATGTTTTTGGTGTGAATTTGTAAACAAATTTTTTTCGTGAACTTTTTTTTAAAAGACAGACGACAGTTAGAACGTTAAATTCTTCTTGACACCCCCCCCCCCCTCCCTATGTTACATTTTGTTACAATTTTTCAACCCCCCCCCCCCCCCCCCCCTAAAATGGCGAACGTAATAAGTGAACGGCCCCAAAACAAAAAATAATAAAATGAAAATCATAAAACGAACTTTCGCTGATTCTTCATTAATTTTCCCATTTTTCATGGCAATAAAGATAAACATGAATATTTAATTTTCCATCAGAAAAATTCTTAAGCCATAAATTTCCTCGTTCATTCATCGTAAAAAATAATAAAAATGGTGAGAAAAAAAGGAAGTCAACGAAGGAGAAAATAATCAAAGAGGACGAGATGAAATGAGTCAGAAAAACTTTTGTGCAAGAAGATGAACGAAAAAAAAAGTTTAGCCTTGACATCGTTCATGTGTTAAGTATTAAGGACAGAAGATTTAAGACTTTTTTGTTTTTCGATGCAAATTTAAGGCTGAACATTGTTGATCTATAAATTTTTGGGGTAGAGTCAGATTTTGCTAATTTTTGTTGGTCAACTAAAATGGAAAGCATATTTTAGGAACCAAATTTATTGAGTTATATCCAAACACATAGAATCACATAAAATCTGGCACAATCTCAACTAATATTTTTGGTACCAAAAAAACCTACTTAAGGAATATAAACACTATTATACATTTAAGGAATTAAATGAGTGTCTGAAAAGAAATAAAGGAGGGAGGTGTAGTCAATGAGATTAAATTCTGTACGAAATATGCTTGCACATGTTAATAAGATTAAACACTTTATGTCTTTATGCATGAGTGTAGGTTTAGAGAGAAGAAAAAAGCAGCATAAAATACATAGTACAACACTCCCTGTGTGTAAAGTTGTGAACATTCTAAATTAGTAAGTATGCATTTTCTGGTTCCTTAAAATGATTTCGGACTGAAAGTTTTTTAGAAGTATTTATAAATTGAGGTTATTCTTCTACTCGTCCTATAAGCTTTCAACCTTTCTGAAAACATGGCTCAGTTCACATTTGTTAAGCTGAAGGTCTCATCAAGAGGATGACAAGTGCCTTTTAAATGACTTTTTTGTTGCAAAATTTTACAGAAGGTAAGCATCCCCTTTGATTCAACACATACTTCATTTAAAGCAAGACATTCACTTCGCAGTTCTTCTTTTTTATATCGCTAAGTTGAGCAATATAAGTAACTTGTCAATAAGCTCCAAAACTTTGAAACTGAACATCAACAATTTTCATCAAACTTAAACTCGAGACAAAATTTATCTTTCGAAAAGTATCTGCAAGAATTCCCACAAAGAACCTCGTCTCTTTTGCCTTCTACACTGAATATAATATTTACAAAGTAAGCATTGCAATAATAAGTAAGCAGAAGGAATTTTCATTATAAAATAATACTCATGTAAGTACGAGTGAAATTTATGTGTGGATGAAACAAGAAACAAGCAAAACGTTTTGCCTTGCAACTTAGTTTTCTGCTGTTCTCTCTTTTTCTTTTCTTTTGTGTGACATTTGGGGAAAATTATGATTTTGAATAAAACATGTTTTGCCTCCGAAAAGAACAGAAATAAGAAAGAAAGCTCTTTCGCGATTCTTTATGTCATTTAGGTAAAAGCATCATGATATTTGCTAACAAATGACTAGAAAACTGAATTTTTATGAGCACTGAAATTGAGGTCACACAAGAAATTCTTTTGTTCTTTCTTCTTACTTGAATCCTCAATTTATTTATATTTTTGTATGCTCTCCGATGCTCTTCTTGTTGTTATGGGCTGGATGTTCTGTATATAGTTTATAAACTTTCTTTTATTATGTCTTCTTATTCTTATGTTGCTTTAATATATTTTTAGCAAACTGTCACATGAGAATTTGTGGATGGAATTATGTCTTCTGGTCTTGTTGAGAACTGTTGCAGAGTGGATTGGGAATATGATAAGCAAAATTTACATTGCACAAGAATTAAATAGAGACATTTATGATCTATCTATGCATCATTAGCGAAGACAAGGAAAGAAGATGGTCAAAGGTGGATCAGACCAAACCCACAGCTTCTTGGTAAGTCAAAACCATGTTCTAAAATTTATGGTAAATTAGGGTTGGGCAAATATTCGAATATATTCGAATATATTCGAATATGAACAAAAAAATATTTATTTTATATATGAGAATTAAAGACATTTTATTATTAAACATGCTATAATTAATGATTTTTTGTGTATCCTTTTGCGGGACGCTTTCAAAAAATTACTGACTGTTAGAAAATTTGAATCTCAAAAAACAGTTTAACGATAAACTTTTTCTATATGGAAATTAATTGGAACAAATCATGTAATTATACTATAACTAATGTTTTCGTAGAGCAACTTTTAGCGAAAAAAATTTCAAATACTTATTGACCGTTAAAAATTTTGAAACCGTTAAATGGTTTCGGCACTTCTCTTTTCCTTTAAAAGGCAACTTCAAATATTATTTGATATCAAAATGTTTCATCTGAAAAAATCATGTTAAATAATTACTAAAATAGATTTAATTTTAATGGAAAAGCAATGGAAGTACTTACTTTAGCCGAATACGTCGACATTTTAGTTGTAAGTTATTTAATTAATTGTTAAACATTTAAAGAAAAAAAAATTCGATTAATAACGGTTATTTTTTGAACTATGTACATTCGAATACATATTCGAATATATGCGCACATAATATTCGAATATATTCGAATACGATTCTGCCCAACCCTATGGTAAAATCATAGGTGATTTATCTCATCTTTACTGTCTCAATTTGTCAAAGAGATGCTGTAAGCTGTATTTTTAAGTCCCATAATTCAAAAATGCACCAAGTAATCTCAAAGACTTTTGAACACAAGCTTATTTGTGAAATCTGGGCTGCCAACTAATTCAAAATTACTCGTTGCTTCATTAAGCACAAAACACTTCAATTGTTGCCAACGGCTGGTTACTATTTTGATTCCGAGCAGCTTTAAGTCGTACCTTACATGCGTTATAATCCTCTTTAACCTCAAAATCCTTTCAATCTTTAAGTTCTTTATCTCGAAACTAAAAACTTTTTTGCTTCCTTTCCCTCATTATTTTGCAATCTCTCCAAGAATCGATACACGAGAAGCACAGAAAAACCAAAGAACATTGAAAGAATTTGTAATTTTTTTCTTCATTTATTTATTTTCCTATCGTCTCGCTTATCAGTAAACTAGAAAAGTCTCAAAAGATATGTTACACATTTCTATCAGTGGATGAAAGTCATGTGAACTGTAAAATATAAATGATGATGTTGTCTTGTGCGTCATGTTTTCCTCTTGTTCTAGGAACCAAAAAAAATATGTATTCAAATAAATTTGGTGTTGGGTACTGAAATTTATTCCATAATTTTTTTTTATTGTTGTTGCTAAATCAGGCATGAAACGGATTTGTTTGGGTACTGCTTCTTCTTCTTTGCTTACAAAGAGACGGATAAAAATTTTTTCGTATAAATTGAATTTTTATTACAAATGCATTTTTATGGGAAATGTTGTGTTCATAACTTTTACGACATCTTGACACTGTTGACAAATTTTGGATGTATGAAAAATGATTGAAATTATTGTGAGCATTTGGATGGAACAGATTAATGGATATGATGGTTTTTTTGGGTGTAATTGTTATGTAAGGAAATGTAGGCATTAACATTTTTAACCATGTTTGTTTATATATGGCAAGCAAGGGGAAAACATCATGTTAGGAAAAGTTTTAATTTGAAATTTCTAACATCGGAAGTAGGTTTCTCCTTGCGCCCCCTTGCTTACCTCAAAATTTAAGTTGTTTTTTCCTTGCTTACCACAAAATTGCTCGTCGTAATTTTTCCCATCATGTTGTTTTCCCATTGATGGCAAGATACTTAGAATAGGGATCAAAAATGAAGACTTTACAAAAAGACAGTTGCATGCTTCATCCAAATTGACATTCCATGTAACTATAAATCAGACATCACTTAAAGATAATCCTATACCTTAATCGATTTAAAAAACTCATAAACTCATAATCAAAATATCAAGCAATATTATTCTATCCTAAAAACTCCAACAGCTTTAAGCAAATTCAACCTTTCGTCAGCGGATGTTCATGCAAGCGAATCAAAATCGCATGTTCAGAATAGAACAAAAAGATAACATAACCTCATTTCTACTAAGATTCAGTTAAGCTCATCAAAAATTTATCAAATGTTTGCTTTTAATCTAATTCTTCTGATACATCAACACTTCTCTTTCCTAGCTCAAGCCTACATCTTGCTTCGTGTAAACATGAACATCTAAAGACATTTTCATTTCCTTTTATCAATTTGCCATATAATCTCATCATGAGAGCACATTTCAAGCTTAAAATAAAACTTTTGAAATTACACTTCCCAGAAATTGTGGGTTTGAAGGTTGGCTATCGAGTTTTCTTCAAAATCTAAATCCAACTTAACAAAGAAGCACAAGCAATTGTTGTCTTTTACAAAATATTCTTCATAAGAAATGAAAATAAGAATTAAAATCAAATAAAAGAGATTTTTGAAAGCTTCAGAATAAAATTAATTTCCATCTCATTGAATTACCAAGAAAAATTTGTTATTCATATTTGATGGAATGTCTTAATGCATCAACATCAGTATCAATAACAAGATTTTCGTTGACAAAGCTCAACAGCAGAAAATAATGTCAATTTTTATGCTTGAAATGTGTTAACAGCATCAACAATAATGATAATACAATAAATGAATCGAGTGAATGAGGATGAAGTAATGTTGAGTAAATAAAGCAAGCAAGTAATTCATTAGCATTCATGAATCCATTTATCCTTTTAACAAGAAAATAAAATGAGATGATAGGGAGAGAGAAAAATATTAAATAACAAGTAATAACAGCATTAAATGAGATAAAGTAAATGAAACAGTGTGCGAGAGAAATAGAGTTAAGGGAAAATAAGCTGCAAAGGATTTATCTAGCACAAAATTAAGCTTTGATAAGGCTTGATGGAGCATCTTTCTTTTGTTTTTCGGGTGAGAACTGTGTTTGGATTTGTTGGAAAAATCTAAACTGTTTTGTCAATCTTAGGAGCATTGACTAGCTAATTTGCATGACAAATGTAAGTTCTTGACATTAATTTTAGATTTTCGCAATTTATTTGGATTAAATTTAAGACGTGAATTTGAATATTTTAGTTTTCTTAGCTGTACTGCCCTCATATCAAGCTATTACGCATTATCAAAATATTTTCTAAGAATTCGTTTATTTTCCATCACATTAGACCTTATGAAAATTAACATTAGTTCAAATTTCATGCTTAACAGCTCAGTTAACGCATTCATATGAAAAATTAGCATTTCAAAAAATTCAATTAATGTTATGAAATTTAATGAAATTCTTCTAATTGATTCTTTTTTCGAAAGCTATCAAATCTAATAATATTGATTGTTTGACGTCTTTTTTGATAGTCTTGGGTTGTAAGGAAAAATCTCTACAAAATATCGAATTGATTTAAAATCGAAAACAAAATATAAAACTTTTAAAGGACCCCTCCTTTAAACGTTGTAACTTAAGTTAAGGTTAACTACTACGACCCTAGTATTGGTTATTTAATAGACTTCATTTAAGTTTGATTGAGTCAAGTCCATCTTAGCTTCGAGCCTGCTTAAAGGAAAATCTGATTTAAATTTAAATTGATTCTTAACTTTCATCTGAGCACCACAAACAATTCCACGTCCTATAAAGCTATTAACGAAACTGTCATTTCAGTGCACTTAATTTTAAACAAAGTTCGCTTTCTTAACAAGAAGTTCAACAGCAATCAACCGTTTAAAAATTTTCTTTCTTTTATCATGTTTCAACAAAACTTGTTGATGTTGCTTGCCAGCTGACAACTATCATAATAATAATAAAAACGACTAGAATATTCAGGTATGGGAATAAGTGTTCTTTTTTGTGTGGATGAAAGTTTAATCAAGAAAATTGTGCAAAAAACGTGACCCGTAGTTGAAAATTTAATTAAAAATTCCATGGCAATGAGTCTCATATTACTCGGATGATAGATCAACTCACCTGTGGATGTTTTAATTTTAATTTTATTCCTTACGGGTGCGAAAGTTTAGGAGTGAATTCACATAGTGTTATTGCACTTCAGATTGAAATTGGAATATGGAAAGTTTAGATTCATTTTGAACATAAATCAAGCTGCTTTTTAGCATTCAAAAAAAGTTGTTGGAAGTTTGCAGCAAATCCATTTAAATCAATACAATGAAAGTTCTATGTTGTTGGATAAATTCAACAGTTTTGGATGTGTTTGAGCTTTTAGAAGGTATGATGACTTAATGTCTGGTTTTAGAGTTCTTTAAGAAGCAGATGGTGACTAGGTTTAATGCACTCATTGAGCACTTAAGCATTGTAGCCTTTCTAATAACAAAATAGGGACAGCAACAAGCTCAACTTAACCGTTGATCCGACGTATAAAGTGCTTCGCTATGGTTTAATATCAAACTTCATATCTAAATAGCCCCAAATCTGCACTAAATTCATGCATTTCATACCAGTTTCAAGTCAATGTTTGCTATTCATAGCTTCAAATACAACCTTAAAAGCTCAAAATCACTTTAATCCACTTCCAGCTCCATAAATGTGATTAAAAATCACAGTTTCTTATTTCTAAAAACATAAAATCTGTTGTGATGTAAGAAACTCATCAAAACATCATCCACAATAACGACTTCTCATCTTCAACCATACTTACTTCAACAAACTTCCGCTATAATCAAGTTACACTTTGCTACTTCCCTCGTCTCTATTTCCTTGAATTGAATCTCATTTACCTGCTCTTAAATTGAAAGTTTATTGCTGTTTGCTGTAAAAACATAAAGTGCAAGAGATTCATCGCCATACATTTTCAATCTGTAGCTGTAGAGAAAAAAAAAGAATGATGAGCGCAACAGTATGCTGAATAATAGAAGAAGCAACACTGAAGTTCGATAGCATTGTGATTTTAAAATGCAATCACTTGATTCTCGAATTTCAATTTCAAAAAGTTGTAGCAGCAAACAAGATTGTAAAAGTAAAATTTTTTTACATTATTATTATAGAGCAAGTGTAGCGAATGGATGGTGCTGTTTATTGTTAGGAATGGAAGAAAATTTATAATCTTCAATAAATCTTTCTTCATCGTGTCATTTTACCATAACACTTTTTTTCTCTCTCTCTCTTATTTCGCGTTCTATGTTGTTTGTTTAAAGGGGTAGGGATGGTGGGTTCTTGAGTCATGTTGATTTTATGCTGCAAATAGAAGAGACAACTGTACGAATGAGATGAATTTTGAATTATTTGCATTGAGTAGTATCAAATCTGTAGGTTTTATGCTTTTTAAGGTTAGAATAACCAATTTATGACTTTTTTACTTGTCTAGGGTATCGTGCCATATGTAGGCTATTCCGCTAGTGCGTGAATAAGAGCTATGTGGCCGAGTTGTTAAGTAACAGACCTGATATCTGAAGTCTAATGTGTGACGACGTGAGTTCGATTCTCACCAGAGGACGATCTCTCAATGATTACAGAACCGTCACTGAACACTTGTAGTTCTGAAGTTGTAATGAAACAACTTTGTAGGTTTAAGGTCCTCTTGCTGATTTTTCAGTTTTAATTCTGCTCTGTTATCCACCCCTTAAAACGATTCCTCATTATTCTAGATTAAAAATGTTCCCATCAACAGCAATATCCTTCTTCTAAAGTAAAGCTTTTGTCTCATTTTTGCCTGCCTAAACTTGAATTTTAATTATGAATTCTTCAATTATACACGCGAGCTGAGGTATTTCCTTTCCTATGAACATTTATACATTTTATCCTCAAAAAATACTTTATAAAAAAAAACTTTTTAAAAAACTACGTTTTTCGCGTAGACTAAAAAGTAGAAAATAACTTTTATTCTTGGTTGTAAAGAATTTGGTTTTAAATTTTCAGATTATATTTAATAAATTTTTATATCCTAGTCAATATTGTTCACAAAGTTTCGAATAAGTGCACTTTGATCTTATCGTATAACTCAACAACTTAAAAACGTGGGCGCATTAATTTAAGTTTATCATAAAGTATTGATTTCACATAAACTTATTTCTCCTCTTATAATGCGCCCACGTTTTTAAGTTGTTGAGTTATACGATAAGATCAAAGTGCACTTATTCGAAACTTTGTGAACAATATTGACTAGGATATAAAAATTTATTAAATATAATCTGAAAATTTAAAACCAAATTCTTTACAACCAAGAATAAAAGTTATTTTCTACTTTTTAGTCTTATTCTAATGAAATAGAGAAATAAAGATTAAAGGGGGTTTATAGGTTACAGGTGTGTTGAACTCCACTTCGTTGCACTTCGTTACGTTCAACTGTTAATAGATCACAGTAGGTTTATAGGTTACAGGTGTGTTGAACTTCACTTCGTTGCACTTCGTTACGTTCAACTGTTTATAGATTACAGTAGGTTTATAGGTTACAGGTGTGTTGAACTCCACTTCGTTGCACTTCGTTACGTTCAACTGTTAATAGATCACAGTAGGTTTATAGGTTACAGGTGTGTTGAACTTCACTTCGTTGCACTTCGTTACGTTCAACTGTTTATAGATTACAGTAGGTTTATAGGTTACAGGTGTGTTGAACTTCACTTCGTTGCACTTCGTTACGTTCAACTGTTTATAGATCACAGTAGGTTTATAGGTTACAGGTGTGTTGAACTTCACTTCGTTGCACTTCGTTACGTTCAACTGTTTATAGATTACAGTAGGTTTATAGGTTACAGGTGTGTTGAACTTCACTTCGTTGCACTTCGTTACGTTCAACTGTTTATAGATTACAGTAGGTTCATAGGTTACAGGTGTGTTGAACTCCACTTCGTTGCACTTCGTTACGTTCAACTGTTTATAGATTACAGTAGGTTCATAGGTTACAGGTGTGTTGAACTCCACTTCGTTGCACTTCGTTACGTTCAACTGTTTATAGATTAGAGTAGGTTTATAGGTTACAGGTGTGTTGAACTTCACTTCGTTGCACTTCGTTACGTTCAACTGTTTATAGATCACAGTAGGTTTATAGGTTACAGGTGTGTTGAACTTCACTTCGTTGCACTTCGTTACGTTCAACTGTTTATAGATTACATTAGGTTTATAGATTACAGGTGTGTTGAACTTCACTTCGCTGCACTTCGTTACGTTCAACTGTTTATAGATTACAGTAGGTTTATAGGTTACAGGTGTGTTGAACTTCACTTCGTTGCACTTCGTTACGTTCAACTGTTTATAGATTACAGTAGGTTTATAGGTTACAGGTGTGTTGAACTTCACTTCGTTGCGTTCAACTGTTTATAAATTACCAGTTTTCAATGGGAAATTAGTAACGACTTTCAAAATTTTTCATTCGTTTTATAAAATTTAATTTTTTTAAAGCATTCATTAGTAAAGTACATTAAAAATCACTCGTAAAGATTTTGTGTTTATCTGTACCATTTCTACTTCATAACGTGTGGATTCTTAACATAAAGATGCAAATCACATATGTAACGTATTTATAACGGATTTTCAAATTTAAATTCAATGAATATCATTTATATGTTATGCAAAAATACGTCAAACCGTTAATAAAAAGAAAAGTCAATTTAATTAAGTTGGTGAAGTGTTATAAATAATGCAAAACATTTAAAACAGCATAAATTTATGCTCAAACTATGTGTGCTAAATGCACATCGCATATTAATAGTTATTTTGCATTAATTCGTAACGGACTTGTGCTTAACGGTTTTTTTGAAAATTCAAATTTTCACTTACGAATATTCATGAAAAAATTACATGTCAATTTTTTTGTCTTACCAGAATATCTTTACCTGCTCAAATTTATGGTATAATTAATAATTAGTAATATTAATTAAACTATAATGAATCATATAAATGACTTTAGAGCATCACAAGTATAATATTTAATACAAATCAAAATTTTATATCATTGACATTGGATTTTTTCCCATATAAAAAAGTTTTACATAAATTGTACTATAATTAAGCATTTTTGTGTTTCCAAAGTGTTAAAATATTGTATTGTCACCGGGAATACGTGTGAATAAAAAATTTTAGCTCGATTGGAGCAGTAGAAGTGGTCGAAAAATTGATCGCAAGATTTGAAATTTTTTGCAAACAAACAAACAAACAAACAAACAAACAAACAAACAAACAAACAAACAAACAAACAAGAAAGCAAGTTAAGAAAAACGTAGTAAAAAAACAAGAACAAATTTTGTGAGAGAAAAAAAAAGTGTCGAGCAGCATGTCGCTCTAATCCTCTGATGAATTTATGATTCTCATAATAATAATTTACAATGAAAGAACTAAATGCTTTTAATTAAAAATTCCAAGTCTAGAAAATTTAGACAAGTGTGATGATGAAGATTATTATTTTTTTTGGGAGGCTTTAAATGCTTCAAGCATGTTATTTTTATAAATTATTTATGAAGTTTTACTTTAATTAAATTAAAGTTTAATTCGTGATGGATCTGATGTCAAAGTTGAAAAGGATGGAAATGGTATTGCGGTCATGTCTTTTGAAATGATAAATTGTCATTTGCGGTTTTTCTCTGTGGATTTATAATTAAATTGTTTATATTAATTTGAAATAACATTGAGTCTTAAAGTAAATCAAAATTCTAGCTGGACTTGATCAATGGAATTTAAGAATTGTTAAACAACTAAAGGACTTAATTGATTTTTCGCTGAATACGCAAGAACAAGATAATGGATTGCTAAAAAGAAAGTTAATTTCAAACTTCAAAAAGTTCATTTCCTTCTCTTTAATTGCTTTGTAATTCCGCTCTGATTTCTCTCGCTTTTCATTTTCTTTCAAAATCAGCAAAATGAAAAAGTTTGAAGTGCACAAAAAATTCTTTTGAGGGATTATTCATTTGTAACGTCCACCAAATGTTGCCATTGTAGTAAATTGAATTTCGTTCAAGGGTTAAGTGCTGTTCACGGTTAGTTTTGAAGATATGTTAGAATCAAAGGTGCGGAACTGATCAAAATGATGAAAAATGAACAAAAATTATATAAATTGATCAAATTCTAATTTATCAGTTCCGCACCTTTGGTTAGAATTTGTGAAGTCAAGTAGCACAGCGTGGTTGCCAAGGCAAATCTCTATGGAAACAAAGATCGTTAACATGCCTTTATTTCATTATTTTTTTACATCAAGGTCGTTTCCGAATTATTTATGTCAATGAAAAAATGAGAATTTAAATTCTGCTTAGTCAAAAATGATTAATCAAAGCTTTATAATACGATGTTTTGCCACAGAACCTTTTTCCATGCACATTCTAGTCACTCAAATTTTAACATAATTCCTTAATGACCCCCTCTTCCATTTACTAGTCTTTCACTAAGTTATTCTCTGTTTACATTTTCAAAAAAAAAAGAATGTAAACTAAACTTTTCATCAGCATACATCATTCAATTCCGAAACAAGCAGAACCAAAGAGAGTTTAAATAAATAATTTTACAAAACGTTCGTTAGTTGCTATGCAATGAATTAAATGCATTCCGTTTTCTTTTGCTGTTGTTGCCAAGACAGTCGTGTTGAGTTGTTGAGCTTGTAAAGTTTGGTATTTTTTTTGTTTATTCAGAAACAAACGAAATTTTTGCTTCCATAAATTTTCCATTTCCATCTTTATCTTTGCTTTTTAAAGTGCTTCCGACATAAATTAATTAAAATGGTAAGTAGCCACTTGCTAATTGCAAATTACTTTAAAATGAGCATAAAATATCATCTAAATGACTGTAATTTAATTTAAAAAAAGGCCAAAAATAAGAAACTGAGTAAAAAGGAAAAAGCTAAATTGGAAGCTGAACAAGCTGAAACACTTCGCGTTGAGGCGGAAAAGGAACGGTTAAAGAAATTAGAAGAGGATAGGTGAGAATTAAGAATCCAATTAAATGAAACGCTTTGCGTGACTATAGGCAACATAATTCCTCGTGCTTCCAAAATGAAATCTATGAAGCTTATAAAATATATCAAATCACATTTTTTTCAGAGAACGTAAAATGCGTGAAAGGCGAGATGCAAAGAAGAAGCAGGAACAAGAGGCTGTTGAGAATAAGTTGAGACGTATTCAATTGCGAGAAAGCTTCAATTCTTTAAAGAGTAAGCTCTTGGCATTATTTTATGCGTGGAATTAGATGGGTGTTTTGTGAATAATTTTGATTCTATTGCTTCTGTGTGCCTGTCTTTTGGTTGTAATTTGGCTAATTTTTAGCGCATTTTTGAAACCTATTTCTAAAAGGTAGCTTAATATCTCACTTTGTCTGTTCGTTCGGGCGGAGAAAAACTTTTTAACTAGACATCGTAGAGAGTTCTAGTTTGTTTTATTAGCTCAGGTCCATTGTTTTATTTTCAAGAAACGCATTTAAAAGTCTTGAAACAGTGCTTTTGAGAGCGTTTAGAAATTCGAATTTATTTCTACCGTTGAAAAATTTTGAATCTCAAAAAACCGTTAGATTACCAAGCCTTTTTATATGAAATTTTTTTTTTTGCAACAGACTGTTATTTATACTATCAAATGCATACGACCGTTACAAAATCTGAACTTCAGAAAACCGTTAAATGAAAAACAATTTATATAGGAGAATGAAAGATATTAAATTGATAAATATACTAAAATTAATGATTTTTTTATATTCACACCGTTTTCACGCGTGAATCTATTGGTTTTGTTCAGATTGAAAAATCAGTTTTTTGAATTTTGTGAGGATATGGAGCAAGATAGCTTAAAATGTTCAGAGATGAAAAGTTTGTGCCCTAAATTTCGCATCTTTTGCAAAAAACAGATTTCAAATTAATTGCGGCATTGCTAAGAAAATCGCAAAATATGCTTTCTGTAAGCAAGCAAACAAGCTAACAAGCAAGTTAATCAGCAAGAAATCTCAATAACGAGACATTGTAGAGACTTCTGGTTTTTTACATTTGATCCGTGCTGCTCTATAGAAGAGCTGTATTGTTTTCAGGCAAGGTAGAAACAGCCGTTGCTTCAGAAAAAGCAAAAAACTTTCCTTTCTTACGAATTTTTCAAATTAAAAGTTCACTGTGATTTTTTTTTAAATTAAACTTTGCATAAATATTCTAGTGCTCAAAACAAATACAAATAAAACATCTTAAATTTTTTTTGAGCAAAGAACCAAGTAGGAAATGCATTTTCAATTTTGGACTAGGGGCGACCCTAGTTTTTTTGAGCAAAGAACCAAGAAGGAAATACATTTTCAATTTGAACTCTCAACCTCATAAAAGACAATTTGTAATTGATTTTCGGTCTTTTGCTTTACCAATAAGCTACTGATGCCATATTTTTGTATTGGCAAATATACCCACACATGGCTCATTATTTCAGAAACCAAACTGCTCTGATTACAGCCAGGGAGGGGATACAGTAGATAGTAGAAACTACATTATTTATAGACTTAGCTTGTTAACGACTTTTTACATTTAATGCCTACAGAAGCAAAACGAGAAATCAAAAAGCTTCTCGAGGAAGAGAAATTAAAAATTGAATGGGAGCAGTACATGCGATGCAATGGTCTACCAAATGCCAGTGATCCATCAGACTTGAGAAAATACATCCACATGTGGGTTGAAGACTTTAAAAATGTGAGCAAGAAAGAAATCAATTGGCTATTGAAAGTCAACGAGCAGAGCATTCTGACGCAAGACCAAACCATACCCGATCTCTCGAAAGCCAATTTACTTAAACTTCAACCTGATGTCGGTGAAATGTATGCGAGGCGTGCATCTGAAGTACTTGGAATACTCGACGAAATGGATGCAATCTTACGAGATCAATATTCATTGTCGCCATCGAAACTAAAAGATTTGCTTGATGTGAGTTTTGTGCATGCAATATTGTGTTCATTTAGAATTTTTTTATCAATGCTTCTATTTTTCTCATCCACTGCTGTACATTGAAAATTGTATATGAGTAGCTAAAACTGGAAATCCGTTCAATCCTAGCGTCATTTGTCGATGAATTTACGTTCAAGATACTAAGCAATATTGAACGCAATATGAATCTAAGTGGATTGAATCAAGCGACATATAAATTTGAATCGACTGTATTCAAAATGGAATTGTATACCGTACGGGATATACCATTACCAGCAAATGCATAGTAAAGAAAAATCTTGTTTTTATGGCTATTCTTTGGCATGGATTTTTAACCGTATGATGTGTGTTTGCATAGATGTTTTATGAAATAATACGACATAAATTTTAATTAGGGGCTACATGATCTCGTTGAGTTTTTGCTGTCTATAGCGTTAAGTTCTAGATTCTATAATTTATTTTGTACGAATGGATAAAGTGGATGATACCCACATGTGTCATAGGTCAATCTTTGTAAAACATACAAACCAGTAACTCCTTAAAGTCGAGTGCAGATCTTAGGTTCAATTCTCAAAATATATCAATCAGAAATCCATCATAATGACATCTCAAAGCCATATATATGCAAAGATCCCCTAAAAGCACACTCAAAGCCGTCATCTCTAAAAATCCATGTCTAACAAGCCCATAAATCAATTAGCTAAAAAGCAAAAAAAACATCTCTCTTTCATATTTTTCTTCTTTATATCCACTTCCATTTCCAACAACGACATACATAAATAACAAAATAAACAGCAATCCAAAGGAAAAGCTCAAAGAGGAGAAAACAAATATAGAATTTTCCATGATTCAAATGAGCTTATCATTGCCATCGTCTGTGAAATGCATAAATTCAGCTGTAAGAGGTTTATGGGTAAATTATGATCATTTGAGTGATTACTGCTTCAGCACAATATTAACATACGATGAGAGTGAGAGAAAGAAATTAACATTGAGAAAAACCACAAAACGTGAATGGAAGAAGAGGAAGGAATTGCTTCAAAAGGCACTATTTCAAATATTTCACGAGAAGCCGGATGAGAATGCGGAAACAGATGCCAACCAGCCACGACAAATTGACATCGATAAAATGTATACAGAATATGAAGACGAATTGAATGCAATTGAGCGTCAAAGAATGGGACCGGAAGCTCTTAATCTCGGTGAATTTGAAGTGAATTTGAGGCGATATAAAATTGTCGGTGGGGTTTTTCAAATTGAATATTTAGAGCAGCCACTTCAGGATGTCAAAACGGATACTGGCACACTCATGAGGACACGTAATTATAGCTTTTTGATTTGTTTATAGACTGAAGCTTTTAAAACATAATTCAGTTTAGGAACAGCTTAATTTTAGACATCATTTGTGAACGAAACCCTTCTCGTCCTTGTTGCCATCTAATTTAATAAATCATTTAAACTTTCCAGTAATTCATCCAGTCAATTTAAAAAAGAAAGACTTCCACTACCCATATCGAGCACCAGAAGCACACAAAGCAGGTCAAAAACGTACGCCAGAAGAAGTGGAGCTTGAAATAAAGAATATGGAAGAAAATATGGAGAAGATGGTCCTTGTAAATGTTGAGTATGTACATAAAACAATCATTCAAGTCGACAATTTCTCTCTTTCTTGTTCCTTAATATTTATGACCAACACAATTTATTTAATTGCATAATAAAATTAATTACAGTCTACCATCTCACATTTCCTGGTTTGAGCCGCCCGTTGTTTGTCGCTTTGAGAGCGAAGAAGAGTCCTTACAAATGAAACGATACGACGAGGAGCAGTCGAAGAAGAAAAAGCGCGATGACGATGATTTAGATGAGGCGGAGGAAGAAGTAGTCATTCAACCAAAAAAGAGAGAAAAGCCTGTGAAAAAACCATCGAAAGATCGTGACGTAAAGGTCGTTGAGGATTTCAATCTTCTTGACGTACCGAAAAAAGTCAATTTGAAGCCATTATTTGAGGATTTTGTAATTCCCATGATACCAGATGGATATGAAATTAAATTTAAACCGAAAAAGACGTCAACAGCATTCATCGATAGTACTCAACGAAAGAGTTGCTATGTCGACCGAATCTATTCAATTGACGAAATTGTTTATCAGACACGTCAACCGCGTGCATTATTTCCCACATGTAAAACGAAAAGGATTTTAAAAGTTGTTAAGCAACGTTCAGGTTCAGGTTATGAATTATTATTGTCATCTACAATAGGCGGAAACGATGCCTCAAGCGAGGAAGAGAATGATGAGAGTATGTATAGTATGGAGTCAGATCCAAACCTTTCATCACATCAATTGAATGTTTATATGTTCTCAAAATTCATGCGAGATCTTGAAGACCTCATTGACATGTCAATTCCATCAATTGAGAAGAAAATTGCAGAAATGTCATCGAATCTCACAACGGTAACAGAAACGCATGATAAAAAGTCAACAGCAATTGACCGTAAGGACTCTGGGATATCATTAAACAAGTCGAATGCGAAACATGTTGTGGACGAGACATCAGAAGATTCAGATGGTGAATCGGAAGCGGAGGATGATGATGAGGATGAAAATAGGGAAATAGCAAAAAATACTTTAATCGATAAAATCGTAAAGGATGCAAATATGAAGAGATGCCGTGGTAGATGGAGTTCACGTGATATTCATGACGTAAAATTCAATGAAGATAAATTAACTATTCAATTTCGGACAGGACGTTTAGGCTTATTCGCATTAGCTGCTAATCGCTACTGCAATTTTCCATTTCAATCATGGGATATTAAGCCTGACTTGAAAATGTATGTTGTATAATGTATTACTAGATATTAATAACACTATCTTGTGGGAATTTTGAGCAGCCCTTATGTACTATGTGAGGATGTCTATACTCATCACTTTGTCTATGAAACTTGAGGTGCTCTCAGTTTTGTTCTTAACAATCAATCTGGGGGAGCCATGGGCTAGTCAGGATAAAAAGAAATCACTCATACCTGATCAAAATGCGCATTAAAATTTCAAAGCTCATCAAGACCTCAAAACTAGTTTTCCAATTTTTTTGTTGTTGGATATCCATACGTGCGTAAAAAATTGTTACAGCATGGGAACGGATCAAGAGTATAAAGAATATCTTTCTTTTTTTCTATATTTGGAATATAATAAATATCTCTATTGCCTCTCAATTTTCCTATTTCAAACGTCTCCCAAGGGTGCAACAGAATGAATTGCACGAAACGATATAATATCCCTTCATTTCCTACCTATTTTTATAAATGGGTTCATGATTTACACGTCAAGTTTTTCTTATTCTTGAAACTAACAGCATTGTTGCCTTCTAGCATATCTGAGCTTATATAGCATGGAATTATGCTGAGTTTCATAATTTAGTAAGGAAAATTAATAGAGTTGGCGAATATGGCAAAATTAATTCCGACTATACATCATATTTGCCTCAAGATTTTTAGGGATGTTATGTAGTTATAGCAATCAAAACATGTCCCAGCCCTCTTTGACCATCCCTTATTTGATTAGCTGCAAGCTAAGTTTCTAATATGAACGAAACTTTTTATCAATCTTAATCTATCATTCACATGTACAAGTTCATTAAACTCTTCACATAAGTGTGATGTCGTCGAGACTTCTGTTGACACTTTCATTAATCAAATGACATAGTTATGGATGTGTTGATTCATTATTTGCTAATCGTTATTATCGTAGTTTGGCAATGTTGGTGCCTATGTATGGAGGGGGTAAGCAACATGATGGGTAAAATAAATTAAAGATGAAAATAATATAGAAAGGACAATCTCGTGGAAAAGATAACAACCTGGAAGGCGTAACAATTTGAAGGGGATAACAGCATGAAAAGGAAAATAGCATGCAGGGGGAAAACAAGGTTATGGGGAAATATTTAAACAAACGAAAAACAAAATGATGAAAAAGAGTTTTTTGGAATTTCAAATAAATTTTTTTCCAACCATTCGCTTTGAGTATTAGCCTTGAAATGAACGCACGACTCTATAGATTAGCAACAAAATGACCAAGTTTAAGGACAAGCACAGCTTCAACTTTATTAAAACACACTGAAATATTTAATGTCAGTCCTCACAACCATAAAGAGCTTTAAATTTCATATTCATTATTGGGTCGTTTTCTAAGTCGCCCTTTCATTAATTCTTATTCCATTTGGATATAGCATTGACCTAAAAGAATTATGAACATAAAGGACGGAATGAAACTTTTTTGATCAAATTAAGTTTTCTCCTTCCTCGGAATGAGCCGAAAGGTTTCAAAAGCCCTTAAAGTTGATAACTTTTTCAATCAATAATTTCAAGTTCATTTAGCAACTGTAAATGTGTACTTAATATCCTCATTATTACTCCTTTACTGCCTTCATATTTAAATATTTATGGACATCTAACAACCCACATGCTTTACATCTATTAAATGTCAATGAATCTTTGTCAAATATCAAACTACGTCCACAATTGTCGATTAGACCAGGGATAATTAATTTCACATTAACAGCAGCTCAGCTTGTAATGGATGTAACTGTCACTGAAAAGGGTATTACACTCAATACACTTCAGGGTTCCAATAATCCAAATGTTCTATCAACAATCATCGGATCGACATTGAAACTAGATGAATTGATAAAACTTATGAGGAACACAGCATGTGATGTATTTCCATCAGATGATGCTTTTTGCTATACGGAGAGTTCATGTGAGAAAAATTATGTCATGGAAATGCACATTTACTCGTGTATGGCGTATTTTGCATCGTCACATAATTTTGCGTGGAGTCGATGGAACTTTCAGGCTGGATCGAGAACGGCTATCTTTTTGATGCGAGAATTGCTGGAGCATCGAAAGTTGGTAAGATATGATTACTGTTTTTATGCAGAATTGGATCGTGAAAGTGCATTTTTTGGGGTGAACTTCAGGTAAGGGGTCGTTTACAAATGACGTCCTTTAATAAAAGGGATTAGGATCAAGTTTAAATTTCAAACAAAATCCTACAGACGCCATCCAATGAGACAATCAGACAATCAAACAATCAGACATACAGATAGAAAGACAGAGAATCAAACAACCAGACAACCTAGTCACAACAAGTCCCTTTAAAGAATTCCCTTAAAAATTGCGCTAATTTGATCCCTTCTGCCCGAACTTATACATGCCAATAAAACTATTATATCATGTAGCCAAATCAATCAACCGTTCATGCAACACCTTTCAAAGCATGCCTCATCGACTGTTCAGAAGTTTCACCAAATTATTGTTCAACACCCTTATCGAATATGGATTACTATGCCGATTTATTTCAGCTCATTTCATCGTCCATTCAGCAAGTGTCAAAGACAAAAATGGAGATTATGAATTCATTATTGAGACAAAATGTCTTTGAGCTACTTAAATCTATTCGACCATTATGTTTCTGTTAATATGCGGAAGTGATGTGAGATGGACGATGATTGGACGTGATGGCATTTGTCATGAACGTTTTGAGAAATGTTCTTAGCAGAAGTGATGAATTAGAAATTTTTGAGTTGACTTTTATGAAATTAGCATTGAGTTTGTAGACTTGTTTGAAGTTATCACTGAGTTTGTAGACTAGTGTGAAGTTAGGATGACTTTTTAAAATAATTTAAATTATTAATATGATTTTATTGATTTTTTGAGCAAGCTACATTAATTATTAATATAAACATCATGTTCGACTAGCTTCTAATTGACAGAAACATATAAAATTTTAATTTTATGCTCAAAAATTTGTTTTACTAATTAATAAAAAATATATTTTAAAACACATGTGATTTTACCACTAAACAGCGATTATAATTTCCTCCTAATTGTCAGAACGTGAGCAAATGAGAATTAATAGAAATGCGACTGCATAGCCAAGAGGAGAGTTTGATGCATTAAATTAATAATCTGCTTAAATTCTAATGCGATTTTCATGTGAATAATTTGGGGTTTTTTGAACAAAAATATATCATTAGTGCAAATGTTTGGATAGAACATATTTATCATGATAAAGTGCAAATATTACACCATAATGTGATGAAATATTTCATTTGAAAAAAAAGAGATTTTTTTGCTTCTTCTTTTATCGTCCATCGTCCATTTTTCAGTTTCATTACATTCATCTCTTCTTCTTTTATGAGAACTAAACGCTTTTGTGGACGTTTGACTGTTAACTTAAGTTTGTCTTGAGAAAGAGCAGAGATATCGAATCATATATGATGATGAATCTGTCAATTTGTAACGATAAAAATAGATAAATGAGTGGTGAAGCAATTGTTCAGAAATCTGCAATTTATTCATATGTGAGGACATGGGTTCGATTCTCATTAGAAACACGATCTCATAATGAACTGTCACAAACTTATTTACTCCCTCCCTTGGTGCTTGAAGGAATTTTTCTAGTTGCCACAATTCAGCAAATGCAAAACATTCATGAAGATCAGCAGCAGAACGACGCAACTAGATGTTAATTTTGTTTTCAATTGAAATTTGGTGATCAGCATATACGTAACCTTACAATAATGCGCTCCAACTCTACTCACCTCCAAAAATCTTCCTCAACAACATTTGTTTCAACAAAAAATGCCATAAAAAAATATTCCAAACTTAAAAATAAGAGCTTCATGTCGAGAGGTTCTCATTCCATCTCTTGTGGAGATATTTGAATATATGAATGTCTGAATGTGCTTGTGCCTTTCCATGGCATTTGCAATTTATGAAAAAAAGAAGAAAAACATTTGTAAGTCAAGATTCAAATGAGATGTAGATTGCATGTCAATACATCAATTTATTTGGTTTCTGGTAATGGGGAAAGAGTAAAAAGGATAAACAGGATTTTTTTTTGTGTCGGATGAATGTGGACTGAGAAGTTGTTGCTCATGGTTTGTTTATTTGAATTGGAAATAGTAAAGATCCTCTACTATGCCTATGCCTCTAAACAAATGCGCCAACAGTTCACACATCAATATACTACCTACTTCCAGCTTCTTTCTTGAGATAGGCTCCAGTAGCCTTGAAACTTATCATTCTACACAAGCATGTGTAGGAATAACTGCGAAATTTTATCTTTTTTTCACAAGGGGGCCATTCATTTATTACGTAACGCTTTTAGGGGGGGGGGAGGGGGTCTAAGATTTTGTTACGGTGCAAACAAGGAAATTTTTTTTTCATACAAATTTTGTTGCGAGGGGGGGGGGGGTTTAAAAAGTCATTTTTTCACGTTACGTAATAAGTGAACAGCCCCAAGGATATTTATCGAAACTTTCCTTATGCTCCTCGTTTTCTCCTTCCTATTCCTGACAAGAATATGATAAAAATACAAGACACATGATCTAATAGATTACAATTTCAACAAACATACATATTATGACTTATATCTACAGAAAATTGATGTTATGATAAATGATCTTTTTCCGGACTTATTAAAAATTCTCATTTTGGATTTCCATATCCAATTTATTCTGTTTCTGTGGAGATGTCACTAGGATCCTAGTTCATTTATTGAAATATTGAGTATCATTTTGATGACAAGTTATTATTTAAAATTTTTTTTTCGATAATTTATGATTGAGAGTCTTTGGGGTTTTTATGGACTATAGGATTGATCACTAAAGACATGCCATGTTTATTAAGGTTTCAAAAACTCGGATTATAGATCCATCCAACTAAAGTTCTCAAGATTACCTCTTTGGGGCCGTTCACTTATTACGTTCGCATTTTAAGGGGGAGGGGGGGGGGGGGGGTTGAAAAATTGTAACAAAATGTAACATAGGGGGGGGGGGGGGGTGTAAAGAAGAATGTAACGTTCTAACTGTCGTCCGTCTTTTAAAAAAAAGTTCACGAAAAAAATTTGTTTACAAATTCACACCAAAAACATTTTTTTAAATTTTCCACCTTTTCAATGATTTATGAATGTCCAGATCTCTTTTGATAGCTAAGCAATATATAGTTTTTGTTATATAAAGTAACAAATCAATAGAAAACTGGTTTACAAGACTCTAAAATACAATCATAATTTGTGGAAATTTTCAAAATTAAATCAATCATAAGTTTACAAGAAAATCTCTCTAAATCTGTCATTCATATGATGATTAATATGAGCCCATCATTGTGATATTTATATCAAAGTTGATTGAATTTTCCAAAATTCGATCGGGCATAATATTTCTCATGACATTTTTGAATTTTCTTCAATTACTTTATATCTTAATCCAATAATTCATGAGAATACTAATAGTATCAATCAAAACATGACCTATTAAGCTGTACAGTATTTTGATGTTTAAGAAAAAAAAATACAAAAGAAATTTAACCGTCTTTTTAGATTTAAAAGAAATAAAATAAAATTATAAACGTTCAGGGGTGGGGGGGTTGTGAGTTGTAACATATTGTAACAAGGGGGGGGAGGGGGTGAAAAAAGTCGTTTTTTTGCGTATAGTTGAACTATACAAGGGAAAATCAACTAATTGAAGTTGTATACATAATTTGAATTTAAAGTAACCGTTAATATATTCTCTACAAGTCTACCAAAGCCAAGAACTTAAAAGGATCCCTTTTACACTTGACTGTAATATAATATTACCAAAAAATCTACCAAATTATGCCCATCATTCTACAAATCTCAAAAATTCTCCTTAGGACTCGAAGCGAAAATTATTTAAATCATATTTATTGATTGCTCAATTTACGGTTCGCCTTATCGTATTTCGAAAATTCACCAAATTGTTTGCCATCAAGATTCTCCAAATATTTAATTTACGAATAATCATCCAACGTCATTTCGTACATAACTCTTCATTTCGGAAATGTAAATACTTTGGTGCCACAAATGGCTTCAATTCATGAGAAATGCGATGAATGAAATATTAATATTCATAATGGCTTTTGGGGGAGGCTGGGAAATAGGAAAGAGTATTAAAATTAATAGAATTACAGCTCAGCACTTCCAAAATTCAAATGAAAAATAATTTAACAGCACTTTATGGAATTGATGTTATTACAAAGTTTGTCACAGAGTCATAAACATAAGGCAATTCTAAATATCATAAAAGTAAGACTCATAAACACATACATATATTTATTTATTACTAGTAGAAAGATTTGTGAATATTTCAGCATGCAACAGGTTTACACAATAAAAAGTATATACTTATGTTGCTTTATTTTCACTTCCATAATGTATACTATACACACTACATATCATCAGTTGCGAGATGTTTACGATATTTGACGTTCTTGTTATTAGCATTAACATCATTTTTCACACATACATGAATAAGTCAAATGGTAAGGATGCTTAGGTAGTGATTCCTATTGATGAACTTCGGTGAATAGCTTTTTTTATGACTTTTTCTTTGTTGACTTTCTGTTCGAAGCTGTTTCTGAGTGTTAATGATGCTATTGTCTTTAGTATGGTATTGGCTGACATTATATGGTTTGGATTAGTTCTTCCTCAACTTCAAGATATATAGATGTGCTCATACAAAAATATCGCAGTTTTTAAACGTCAAAAATTTGAATTTTCTAAAAACACTAACACTATAAAAGAAATTTTCAATTTCTGTTTTGCAAAATTTTCAACTTTCTGTTAAGTTTTGTTGATACAGGAGTATTGCAAATGATTTGCTATAATTAAAAGTAACTGACTAAAGTCAAATGTTGTTGCATCTGTCGATATTTAAATGAAAACTTGAAAATAGAAAATTTTAAAAAATTTTGTTTGTATAAGTACACAAAAAATAGTATGGTCGAGTATGGTCAAGTATACTCTGTATGAGCCCATCTATATATCTTGCTCAACTTCTTAGCTAGGATCTTATAGATTAGTGATATGGGGTATCTAGCTATTTGTAGGCTAATCTGTCAGTGCGATAGTAAGGTGATTAGAACTCTTAATAGTTTCATAAAATAGAAACCGACTTCCAAGGCTATCGGTAGTAGCTACCCTTACTTTTTAAAATCTTAAGAGTTTAATAACTTTGGAACCTCTAAAAATCGAAAATCTCTGAAAAAAGTTATCTTCATGAAAATTACATATCCAAAGCAAGTCTTGGTGAATGTATCATTCATGTAAGTTTACAAACTTACATAGAAATCATGTCCCATGAGATGCCAACAATATCACTGATATATAATAAAATGAGCTTTCTTGTGATTACTAGCATACACATTCATACATGCCCATTGCTCACGTTCATTCATTCCCACAATACTTCGACTTTTTGCATGTGGGATTTGTCAATGATGATGGTAAGGATGAAGACACAACATTAGGGAACTGAATGACTGAATTACATGATATTCTACAGTATACATTCCCAGTTCTAATTTTACCAAAGCAAATGAACAAATAAACAAACAAAACAGAACAGTAAAAAGAATGTTGAACCATTTTGAGAATACAAGATATTTCAATTTCTCCGTTTTATGTCTTTTTGTGCTAAATCATTTCCAGTTATTTTGAATGTATGAGCTCTGATTTATATTGTTTTTTGCGTCTTCCAAACATCAGTTTATTTAAAAATACTGGATTAAGATGATTGAAGCTTGATGAACAAGTCCTTGAACAAGTCGACTTCCTTGCTGTAACCATGTACCTATGTGGAGCTTTTGTTCTTAAGAGTCCTCTTCTTTATACATTTCTCTGTCTGCTGATTGAGATGATACTATTTTACTTCCGTTCCTTCATCAGGACGAATTTTTATGTGCGGATTCCCTATCTTTAATGAACGAAGGGCCTAAAACTATGCATTCAAACAAGGGGCCAAAAACTACGCATTTAAACAAGTTGTCTGAAACCACGCATTTAAAAAAGGGGCCAAAAACTACGCATTTAAACAAGGGGTCTAAAACTACGCATTTAAAAAAGGGGCCCAAAACTACGCATTTAAAAAAGGGGCCTAAAACTACGCATTTAAAAAAAAGGCCTAAAACTACGCATTTAAAAATGGTAAAAACTGTGAGTTCAGTGTTGAAACAAAACAAATTAGAGCAATAAACCTGACAAGACTAATCCCTAACCATAATCATAATCCTACATAAATTTCCCTCAAATTACGTCAATATGAATTGGTCACTAGCCGCAAGTTCTTTTGTTACTCGTATATCCACAAATAAAACGGATATAACGTATACTTATAATAAACTTCCGGTTCCGGTTACAGAAAAATTCTTTTGTGTCTCCCTTATTTTTATTCTGTGATTGACATTGCCATCTACAATACTTAACGAGAGGTTTCAGTTGTAGGAAGAAAAAGGAACAGTCGGAAAAAAAGAATATTTTTACTATGGAATCCAATATGGCCTTTATTAAGGAAAAATTTATGTACACAGTACAATGGCATTCATTTCACACATGGACATTAGAGCAAGTCGAGCAACATTTAAGATTGAGTTTCCTTTTATGTTAGTCATGTGATTGAAGTAAGTAAATAAATATATAAGTAACAAAACACGTACAAAATTCCACGTCCTTTGCCATTGCTTCTCATTCCAAAACAGTTGTGCATTGTAAATATATTTTTTTTATTCCCCTGTTGATTTCATCTACTTCTTTTTTTTTATTTCCATTGTATTTCTGCAAACCTAAACTATATCTAGTTCTCTCATTCTCTCGATCCTTAATATCAGCAAGAAATTACTATAAAGTTGAAGTAGTCAATAAAGTGCTTTTTATGATTATTACATTAAATTTTCAATCGCTTTTCTGATGCTGCTGTTATCTTGATTGTGTTAAATGAATCTTTCCTGGGTTTACATCTTCTTCTAATGAATTAGGTCATCGTAAACATTACAATTTAAAAGCCAACATTGCATGCACAGATCTCATTTGTTTGTCATCATTGCAGCTACAATCATCAGCTGTTTCTCTTGGAATATTCGAAATAAATTTTCGTCTATTATTAGCAAGCCATTGGAAGTTGTTTACTTTCAAAATCGTTGTACGAACGACGCAGATAAGATAAACGACCCGAACTTTGTGTGATAAGACTTAATGTTCAGTTGTTAATTTACCTTTCAACAATGCAGATCGATCCAGCGAGCAAAGGATTTCTGGCAGTCTTCATAACTGTGATTGTCGGCACAATTGCATTCTTTATTGCATCAATATTTTTAGATTTTGGCAGCAATTTAGTTGTGCAGGAAATAAAGTTTGAAAATTCAAATTTTCATGTTGATATTAAGCGATTGGAAAGTGATAAACGATATGTGATACAAGTGTTTAATGGTAGTTATCGGAATTGATCGTTACTTAACATTGCAAGGGATGGACATTTGGATTAGTTTTGACTGGGTTTTCAAAATTGTTATAAATGACTAGTTGGGGGGATTGATACTCGAACAATACTCAAGCTGCAATCATTTAGTCAGAACAGAACCATAATTTCAACAAGAAAGTGTTCATCCCTTGTCATAAAAACTCACTGTTATAATCCACTTCAAATAATCTTATTTCAATTATTACTTCTGACTGTTTTAACTCAACAGATAAAGAAGCAATTGCTCAAGAAATTTATTTTGGAAACGATTTTGGCGATAAAACTGTTCAAGTAGAAGCCATCGACAATGGCTACAAAATCTTCACTACTAGTTCCAATGAAATGTTTTTAACTATTGATAAGGATGAAAAGAATTTCGCATCATTGAAGGTTAAAAGACGTGTTGAGAGTAAGGAGAAAGTTCTTAAAGACTGCCTGCCATTGAGTAATGATGAAAAAGTCAATTGGTATGGTGGACCAGAACAGAAGAATCAGAAATATCCAATTCAGCATTTTAGATTCACAGATTATGCTTACATTACTAAGGAACTTGATAGTGCTGGAATTATGGAACGTTATTGGTTCTCATCCAGGAAGTTCTTCATACTTATAGACTACGAGACTCCATTGTTTATAGACCAAAATGAGCATCAAATCTGCTTTACAGCTAAGAAGGAACTTCCATATTATACCCATAATAACGTCTATGAATTCAACTACAAAATCGGTGTATCAACAAGTATGAAGGAACTTCATGTTAGTGTAATTAATAAGTACTTAGGAAAGCCAAAAGGTGGAATGCCAGATGAAAGACTGATTAGGTATCCAATTTGGAATACTTGGGTTGAATTTGGACGAGAAATAAATGAAAGCACTGTTGAAGTATTCGCCCAAACGATTGTTGATCATGGCTATACTCACAGCTTGATTGATATCGATGATTTCTGGGAAGATTGCTATGGATCAGGAATTGTTAATACCACAAATTTTGGTAATTTGAAGGCTTTAACTTCTAAGCTTAAAAGCCAAGGATTCATTGTTGGAATGTGGACTCATCCATTTATAAATAAGAACTGTCAGCCTTACTACGATGAAGCTGTTGCTAATAACTTCTTAGTCAAATCTCATAACGGAAGTACTGAAACATCTTGGTGGAATAGTGGAACAAACGAAGCTGCACATTTTGACTTTGCAAATCCAGCTGCTTTAAGCTTTTATCGTCGTAGACTTGAAGCTATCCAAAGAGATTTTGGAATTGATGTTTTCAAATTTGATGCTGGTGAGACTTCTTGGTACCCGACTGACCCAAAGTTTGAAAGAGATTTGGACATAAGTCCATCACAAATTACAAGAGCTTTCGTTGAAATGGCTGCAGATTTTGGAAATAAACTTGAAATTAGAGTTGGTTGGGGCACTCAAAATCTTCATGTCTTGGTTCGTATGTTGGACTTTGATTCTAGATGGACTGCTGACAATGGATTAAAGAGCTTGATTCCAACTTTATTCCAGTTTAATTTCAATGGATATGGTGAGTCGCATCCTTGTTTAATCTTAAGCTTCTTTTAACATGTTTAATTTCACAGTTTTCGTCCTTCCTGACATGATTGGAGGTAATCAATACGGAGCAGATGTAATCACTAAAGAACTGTTCATTCGCTGGCTTCAAGCAAGTACTTTCATGCCAAGCTTACAATTTTCACATGCTCCTTGGCACTTCCATGAAGACACGATAGCAATCACTAAAAAGTTTATTAAACTACATGCTGATCATGCTGATTACATCTTAGAAAGATTCCAACTTGCAATTGACAAAGGTGAACCTGTAAATGTTCCTGTTTGGTGGATTGATGAGGATGATTATGATGCACAGACTATTGATGATCGTGAGTGACTTGTACAAATTTTTGTGGATTTATTGCTAATTTTTTAAACTTCTAGAATACCTTTTGGGAGACAAGATTCTTGTGGCACCAGTAATTATGGACAATGCAACATCAAGAAGAATCTACATACCTTCTGGGAAATGGCAAGATGGAAATTCTGTTACGGTTTATGAAGGAAAGATGTGGATTGAAGATTATCCTGCACCACTCGACACACTTCCTTACTTTATAAGAATTGAGGAAGATGAGAAACAGTAGACTCAAAGTCTATAACTAGTTATACACAATATTTGAATGTCAAATGTTAAAGCAATGCCAATTGTTCAAAATAAAATTGTTAAACTTTTAATTCTGATCAAATAAACCTTTTCTTTTCAATTTTAAACCAAACTTACATTTCCGACTAATCCAGCACATTTAAAAATGGTTGTCTTCGAAGAATACTTCCCATCTGAGAAAGAAATCATCCAAAAATATGCAGAACGACAGAGGAAACTTGAAGAAGTATCGATGACACTAAGAAAATCAGAAATATCATCAAATGACAGTCCAAAATTATTAATTCCAAGAAAGTCAAGCATTAGTATGATCCTGTCTGAAATTCATCGTGATACTGAAGATAAGTTGAAGCAGTCAAGCGATGTTGATGCTAAAATCGAGAAGATCCATAAAATGATTGAGAATGTTGACAGCATCAACTTTATAATGGAACCTAACAAGGAAGCAGCTATTTTAGATGGAAGTGGAGATGTTAATGAAGTTGCTGGATCTATAATTAATGAAACTGCTGCTTCAACGTCTCACGAACTAGATGAAAACTCTTCAATATCTGATTTGAGCCCTAAACGTGTCATTCGACTTAAACATAATGATTCATCACTGGAACTTCCAGACTATAAACCACCGCAAATCAAGCCAACAAAAGCATCAATTTTAAAGTCAAAATTCAACTCTGAAAAATCTCAAAAGAATCCAGCAACAATTTCTAGAAGCTTTAAAAGCAGATCTGTAGCTGAACCACTTTCAAAAACTCCCAGAGCCATGTCATTTGCTAAAGTTGAGCCTCCAAAAAGAATTGACAGCAAAAAACCAACTCAATCTGTTCGCAAAATCCTCGATGATGCCAAAGAGAAGCACAAAGCTAAAAATTCAATCAAGTCGAATGTTCCAGTCAATGTTTTGGATTTGTTCCTGGTTTAAAAAAATTAAAGTGAACTGATGAATTCGTAATAAAAATTAAAATATTTATTCTATAAAACAATTTCAGATTACTTCAAAAAATGTTCATCACTAGAGAATAAGGAACAGAATTAATAGCATAACATAAACACTAGACTCGCCACATAATATAACTGCTTGGAAGCCTCGTAAATGTCTTATTCTCTCAGTCATTTATTGTGATGTTGTACCTTAGTTGTGGCATTTGATGTTATCGTTCGGAAGTTTACAGCACAAAACATTAAACAAAATTATAACAAGGGGGATAATAAAACAATAAAAATGCTTTTAAGGCTTAATTAAAATTATTCAAATGAGAGGATCAAGTCATCTCCTTCCAATTTAGTTCCTGGCTCGATGTTCAAGCTCTTGACTGTTCCAGCGCGTGGAGATTGAACAACCATTTCCATTTTCATAGCTAAAAGTTCAACATTAATAAGATATCAGCAATAAATTGAATTAATTCTATCTGTTACCTGACAAAACAACAAGTGGCTGGCCCTTCTCGACATGATCACCAACCTTGACACGAACGTCAATAACAGATCCAGGCATTGGAGCGCCAACTTCATTCTTATTTCCTTTTGTGGCTTTTGGATGAATGTGCATTTCCTTTGCAGCTTCCTTATCACGAATCAAAACTGATCTCAATTGTCCATTAAGTTCAAAGAAGACTTCCTTCTCTCCATTTGCTGTTAAGTCTTCAGCCATAGCTAATGTCTTGATGTGAAGTGTCTTTCCTTTGTCGATTGTGACTTCAAATTCTTCTCCAACTTTAGGTCCTGTAAGGAACATTCTTGTGTCTAGCTTGTCGACTGGTCCATAGTCCTGAGAAATAGAATTAAATTGAGATTAGACTTTGAGTTAGGTATGATGTATGGATTAAAGTTTTAATCCTCAGATTTATAAATAAATCTGTAGATTAAAAAAATAAATCCTTAGTTTAATAAAATCAAAAGTAGCAACTCACTTCACGGAAAGTAAGGAAATCGTTTGTAACTTGTGGATATAAAGCAGCTGACATAACATCACGGTCATTAGCATGTGGATGACTTTCAAGAATATCCTTTTTCAATGCATCAAAGTCTAATGGAGGAAGGCTTTCACCAGGACGTCCTTCAACTCTAGGCATGTCTTTTAATACACGAGATCTGAATGGTTCCTTAAAACCACCATGTGGAATTCCGATAGCACCTTGAAGGAACTCAACAACTGATTTAGGGAACGACAATTCTTCTGCACGTTCCTCAACTTGTTGGGCTGTAAGATGATTTTGTACCATAAATTGTGCTAAATCTCCTACGACTTTTGAGCTTGGTGTAACTTTAATGATATCTCCAAGAAGTAAATTAGCTTCACGATATGCCTTCTTAACATCTTCGAAGAAATCACCGAGACCAAGTGAGAATGCTTGGAATTGCAAGTTTGTATACTGTCCGCCAGGAATTTCATTCATATAAACATCAGCATTTCCAGATTTCATTGTTGTTGTACATTCAAATGGTGCATAAAGTGTTCTTGTACTTTCCCAATATGCTGAATAATCAGAGATATCTTCCAGTTTAAATCCAGTATCAATTTCAGTTCCTTGAAGTGAAGCAACAACTGCTCCCATACTTGGTTGTGAAGTCATTCCACTCATTGAATCGACAGCAACATCAACAATATCAGCACCAGCTCGAGCACATTCAAGCATACTAGCGACTCCAGCCCCACTTGTATCATGTGTATGAATGTGAATTGGAATATCTGGATGTTTTTGACGAAGAGCATCAATTAAAATAGCAGCAGCTTGTGGTTTTAAAAGTCCAGCCATATCCTTAATAGCTAAAACATGTGTTCCTGCCTTGATCAATTGATCAGCTAAGTCAACATAATATTTCAAATTGTACTTTGTTTTGCTTGGATCAGAAACATCTCCTGTGTATGAAATTGCAGCCTCAACAACTCCACCGGCCTTTCCTGCTGCTTCCATACCGAGAATTAAGTTTGGTAAGTAGTTTAAACTGTCAAAAACTCGGAAAATGTCCATTCCACATTGAACCTAGAATTATTTTGGACATTAGTTGATGAATTCTAAATGTTCAAGCTTATATATACTTACAGATAATTCACAGAATTTAAAAACTACATTGTCTGGATAGTTGGTATACTGAAATGTGAGGAAGTTATGCATTTAAATAATGAATCATTGTGAATGTAGATTGTAACTTACACCAACAGCATTAGCTCCTCTTAACAACATTTGGAACGGGATATTTGGAATACGATTTCTCATTTCTTCTAATCTCTCCCATGGACATTCATGCAAGAATCTTAAACTGACATCAAATGTTGCTCCTCCCCAGTTCTATTGAGTAAATGACAAATTAGTAGTCAAAACTTAAGGATTATTGATTCAAAGAATTTTTACAATTGATATTACTCAAGACTAAATTAGAAGCCATCAATTTTCATTCGAAACGTCTGGCCAATTGTATTCATTCAATAAATCTTAAAGCAAACAGACAGATTCCGTTGCAAAACAATTAAAAGTCAATTGCTTCATCAATTAAAAGTCTTATTTAAACATATAAACTTACCTCAAGTGCATACAAATTATTGAATTTGTGGGCAACGAATGGTGAAATTTTCAATAAATCATGTGTTCTAACACGTGTTGCCAATAGTGACTGATGAGCATCACGGAAAGTGGTATCCATCAATAAGAGATTCTTTTTAGCACGAACTGCTTTGGCAAATGCAGCTGGACCTTCGGCTTTGAGGATGTCTCTTAAGCCAGGTGGTGGTGCGTTGACTAAAATAGTTATGATAAAGGATATTAGTATGAATGTAGAGGTAATGATGGCCCTAGAAGGAACAAAGATTGCAAGAAACTTGTTTATACACAACATTGACATCATGACATAAACGCAAATAATGGATATGCAAACAATTCATAATGAGGAGTGAATTAAGCTTACTCAATCCATTGTCATTACAAAGTAGCACACAAACAAAGTGTCAATACGGCAGCAAAAAAAGTAATAAATATCATAAGATAAAATACCTTTACGTCCCAATCTTTCTTGAGCTAATGCCTCTGGAGACAAGTCTATTAAAAACGTATTTTAATGTGCGATTGTGTTTATTTAAAAAACAAAAAATTATTAGTTAAATGAACGATTCTATATTATAGATCTATAGCATTAGAATAGTCAGTAGGAAGAAAGAAAAGTTAAGCAGTTCAAAGCAAATTCCACACCTTAAATAAACAATGTCTCTAAATTGCAGTAATTGTTTTGAAATAGACGTATTCAAGGATATTTTTGAGAAGTAAAGAGTTCAATGACTTGATCCTCATTTATAAATGATGTCCTTTAATTGGAGGATAAGCATCCAACACAATCGCTCCGTATTAATCATCAATCAAAGCTTCATAATATAAAATAGAAATATAATAGTAAAATTTGGAAACATTCTCTTGTGAACTATATAATTTTCAAAAATGTATCATCATTTTAGCTTTAATTCCAATTTTTGGACAGCATGTAATGAAACAATTACTCGGTAGTCTAGTGGTGAGTATAAAATTTGGTTTTTTAAAAGCCTTGAATACGAACAAAAATGCTCTAATGATTTTCATCTGTGTCTCAATTCACATTAAAAGCACACAGCAATTGTTTTATGTTTACGGAATTTAGTTCCAACTTACTATACCAGTGGTAAATTGCAGGATGGAATTCGCCTTGAAACAGAAAATAGATTACACGTGAAAAGAGATTTTGAGGTCTCAACGAAAATTTAGTCAATAGATTAATCACAAATTTCTAATGAATCTTTATCCAAATAAAACCAATAGTTAATAAGTACATCTGTTTTGGAAGTAAAATTTTAAAAAGTTCCAAAAAATAAAATTTTGAGGTCAGAAAAGTTTAAAAAGCAAACTGAAGAAAAAAGAAGCTCAAATAATAAGTTTTAGGAGTTACAAGACTTACCTAGTGGCGTTGTTGGTACATGTGGATGTACTTCTGCTGGTTTAAGCTTTGTAGCTAATGGCGTTTGAGGTCCATTGACTAAAACTTGACCGAGATAATTGAGTAATTTTCCAGCACGATTTTGTGATCTTTGGAATTTAAATAGTTGTGGATGTTCATCAATGAAATAAGTATCAAGGACACCATTTAAGAACTTCTGATTTTCCAATACATTCATAAGGAATGGAATATTTGTCTTAACACCACGAATTCTAAATTCTCTTAATGCTCTCGTCATCTTAGCAGCAGATGATTGTAAGTCAGCAGCATGTGATATGATTTTAACAAGTAACGAATCATAATATGGAGAAATAATAGCACCAGCATAAGCAGAAGCAGAGTCTAGACGAATACCCATACCCTCTCCACTTCTAAATACTTCCAAACGTCCAACATTTGGTTGGAAATCATTTGCAGGATCTTCTGTCGTCACACGACACTGAATAGCAAAACCTTGTGTCGAAATGTTTTCTTGTGTCAATCCCATTTCTGGCAAAGTCATTCCTTCTGCTACACGAATTTGTGATTGTACCAAATCAATATGAGTAATTTCTTCTGTTACTGTATGCTCGACTTGGAGACGTGCATTGACTTCGATGAAATAGAAATTACCATTTTCATCACACAAGAATTCAACTGTACCCGCATTTTCATATCCAACATGTCTTGCAAGTCTGACTGCATATTCTGTCATTTTATCGCGTGTTTCTACAGCTAATCTTGGTGCTGGTGCAATTTCAACAACTTTTTGATGTCTACGTTGGACAGAACAATCACGTTCATACAAATGCACAACATTACCTGCTTTGTCACCAAGCAATTGAACTTCAATGTGTCTTGGACGTTCAATAAATTTCTCAATAAACATTGCACCATTTCCAAAAGCAGCTTTAGCTTCAGAACTTGCTCTCTCGAATGATTCAGCAACATCTTCCATTCTCTTAACAACTCTCATTCCTCTTCCACCACCACCATATGCTGCCTTAAAAATCACAGGAAGTCCATGTTGACGACAAAACTCTAATGCTTCTTCTTTGGTATGAACTGGACCATCGGTTCCTAAAAGAATCAAATTTATTAGTCTCGTTAAATTAATGTTATATTTTTTAAGGACTTACCAGGGACAATTGGAACTTGAGCTGCAATAGCTGCTTGACGAGCTGCAACTTTGTCACCCATTTGCTGTACAACCTTTGGTGATGGTCCAATAAATCTAATTCCAGCATCAATGACTGCTTGTGCAAAATCAGATCGTTCGCTAAGAAATCCATAACCAGGATGAACAGCGTCAACATCATTTTCTTTACAGACTCTAATAATTTCTGGAATGTTAAGGTAAGCTTCAACGGGCGGTAAACCTTTGCCTACTAAATATGATTCATCAGCCTTTTGTCTATGCATATGCATCTTATCCTGTTCGGAATAAATAGCCACAGACCGAATGCCCATTTCATTACATGCTCGAAATACACGAATTGCAATTTCACCGCGATTAGCGACAAGGACAGAGCGTATTGGCTTGTATTCGACCTAGACATCGATAAATAATAAAAGTGAAATTTTGTTAATTATAATCGAGACCGCAAAGTAAATAAGCTTGATTGCCTTACATCTGTTGAGTATTTGTTTTTGCTGATATTAAATATTCTGATTCTCGATGCTTGCCTGAATGCTCGAATTCCATTTGCAGCTGTGTAAATTGACATTTTGATTATCTTGTTTAATTAATTCTTAAGAACACCTGAAAATAAACAGATGAGCGGAAATGGATGCATTAATGTAGTGTGGATTGATGCCAAAAAGCTATTAATGTTTGGTACGTAAAGTTTATGGAATTTTTATAAAAATTCCATAAGATCCATTCCTGACCAAAAAAGTCATAAAATCGTAAATATTGACAAAGTTCCACATTTTAATTCGTGTTGCTTAAAACTGTACACACTCTGTAAATCACAACAATCTTCCCACACACGACACACGCGCTACCCAAATGTTCCTTTTGTTTCTTCTTTCTTAGATGGATTGACCCACATTCCAAAAATAGATAAGATAAATAAGAAAATCTAGCGCAACAAGTCAAAATATAATTAGTCACGTTAGTATGAAGCTATCATGCACTGCACATGCTTCTCATTACAAGTCAACCAACTCTTCCATAAAATCAAGTCACGAAACAAAATTGCATCTCTACATAATTAAATTTTCATAGCAGATGGCTTCTCTCCAAGCTTATTGCATGTGAAGGACATAGAATAGTGCAGTCTTGATTATCATATCTATTTGAATGTCGCGTCTATCCGACGTCGATTGCATGCATCAAAGAATTGTAATTTTAGGCTCGTTAAAGAACAACAACTTGTTATTATTATTCTAGCTTGTGCGTAAGAAGTAATTGTTGATAAGAGACAGGCACAGATGATGTTTTATTGAGGAAACAAATACAGACATGTTTGTAATCATTAAGGCACAGCAAACCGCACGCATTATAATGTCACTGATATGATTCGAAAAGTAATTATTTAATCGATAAGTTCTAGCAGTTTATTGACTGTAACTTCGATGGAAATACTCTGGTGATTGTGTATATGACACTTGATAAAAGGCTTAGGTGCTATTAGTGTAGGTTTAAATGTGGAGGCTTGATTTAATTGTTAAACTGTCTCTAACTGTTAAATGTCCGAGAGAATGTTTGATTATTTCACATTTAAGCACAATAAACATAACCGAGCCCATAAAAACTTCATAAAATCGTGCAAATCATGTGTTCGCTTAGTCAATTCTATTAGCTAGTCATGTGAGCCTCTACATGAGCTATTTGTCTTGCAAATTCACTCCTTTCGGACGAAAAACATCATCAGACACAACATAATTATCACCTATACTTTAAAAAAGGTATAAAAAGCACTTATGTGATAAGGCAAGGAAAAGTAAAGTCAACGCACTACACGCTATCAAGATTTGTCTTTCAATTTAGCACGATTCCATTATCACAGTCAAAAAAATATATTTTGGAACGATCGTGGATTATCAACAAGAGTCAAGAAACATCAAGAAGACATAAGAAATGAAAATAAAGTTGTTTGATAAGGGGCCATTCACTTATTACGTAACGCTTTTAGGGGGAGGGGGGGTCTAAGATTTTGTTACGATTCAAACAAGGAAATTTTTTTTTCATACAAATTTTGTTACGAGTGGGGGGGGGGGGTCTAAGAAGTCATTTTTTCGCGTTACGTAATAAGTGAACAGCCCCTAAGACATTTAGCATGAAATGTAAATAAATAGCTTTTTCGTATTGTCATGATAATTCAGACTAAAGAGGCGTAGACTGTATTTTGCAATTAGTATCAACTTCCAACTAATATTTACTCTATTCTCACTGCCTTTTTATCGCGTTAATATTTTTTTGTGGTTCACTAAATTATCGCACGTGAAAATATTTGTGGACTTTTAGACTTGACGTCTTACTTATTATTTTTCAAAAGTATCGCACACATTAGAATATTACATAAACAAAACAACAACAGCAAGGCAATAAATTTTGTGACTGTCGCTACTCACCGAAAAAACAAATGAGATACAGTAAGGAAGTTTTTGCGGGTGATTACGCAAATTTTGTTTAATTTTGACAATTTACTGCGAATTAGGTCAATGAATGAATATTGATTAGATCTGATTAACAATAACTCTATTGGATTAAAAATAAATCAGTCGGATTAGAATTTAGAAGAAAATAATTGGATTGAGTAGTTTGAACTTTCAAGACAATGAAGTCCGAAAAGGGATTAGACAAGCCAGTCAGCGTTTAGCTCAATGCGTCAATTTCAATAGCTCGACATAGACTCAAGTCGTCTCGAAACTGATCGTCGTCATTGGACTAAATCAAATCCATTGGATTAAAAATAAGCTGAATCTTTTTAGGATCAAAAACTCTAAACTTAACGCATATTCTCAGTACGAAGCAGTAAAATTCTAGACTTAAGTGACTAGACACACCTCCAAAACACCTGCCTTACAATTAATTCATTCAAAAACGTAGCTAAAAACAGGTTTTTTTATTGTCGCGGAAAAGAAGTGCCTCGAGTCACTTTCACGAGATTTTTTTCATCGCCACACATGCATTCAATAATCGCTCGCGCGATTCTTCACATCTTCACGCGAGATCTCTACTTGTGTTTGTAATTTCAAGTTCACGGCCACTTGACTTTTTGCATTCGACAGTCTGATTCAGTAAATTTCGAAATGTTTGTAAATTTTTAATGACTGCTCTTATCAGCTACAAAAATGCAATTATCGTGGAATGTTGATTTTTGAAATAAAGATAAAATAATGACCTAATATCTAGTATTTCTCGGCTTATGAGTATCAACTTGTCTCTCTGCCAAAATTATTCGGCCTGTTTCACTAAAGTGGATTATCCTCGATTTCGGATTATCCACTTCAATTTTTTGGAAATATCTCCAGATGCTTAAGGTTATTAAGAGATCTAATTTGTGATCTAGTTAGAGTACTTTGCTACTTAAATTAACATAAACTTAGAATTTTTATATCTTCACTAGTTTGAGAATTATAGCAAATATCGAAGATAATCTACTAGATTTGGCTAGAAAATTGAATAATTAATACTTCTTAACGAAAAGTAAAAGTTTAAAGTATACAGAAATTTCAGGCATAGTTCACTCTATTATAATCCAATATAAGAAATACCACACCTCCTATTAAGTTTAAGATATTTACAAAAAATTGAAGTGGATAATCCGAAATCGAGGATAATCCACTTTAGTGAAACAGGCCGATTGTTTTCATCCTCTAGATTTTCTGAACAAGGAAAATAAGTCTAAAAATGAAAACGACAAGAATTTACAGCAAAAAAGATTTTAAGCTGTAAACAACAAATATTGAGAATTCTGTTTTTGGTAAGACTGACTTTTGTACACTTTTATAGCAACAAGATTACTTATAAGACTTCTCGTAGAGTTTGAACTTTTGATATGAGAGGATTTGATTGTTATTATGAAATATTATTCGGTCTTGGTTCTTTTAATTTGCGTCATTGTGCTGTTTATTTTCTAATTTGAGGAAAATTTAATGAGAATTGGTTGCAAATTTCTTGAGTTGTTTTTTGAAGCTCTAAGCCTTGATTAAAGAACTGTACTTATATTCTACTAAGGAGGTTGAAATTAATACAAAATTGGATCTACTCCAAAATTTAGTGATGTACTCGAGAAACAAGATAATTCAGAACTGCACATTGAGTGAGATCTATGTGTACTCGAGAAACAAGATAATTCAGAACTGCACATTGAGTGAGATCTATGAGAACATATTTTGGGATGGGCATGGAGCTTATGATTAAACTGTATGTGCAGCAAGCATAACAAAAATCATATATAACTTAAATTGCTGCACTTATTTGCAGTAGAAAATTTACTAAGCCTAGCTTGTTTCATAATTGTCTGCACAAACTTTATTTGAAGAATGAGATCCAACTTAAAAACAAGCATCAAATAATTTATCTAGTATGCGAATAAATGGATAGTTTATGAAATCTGTTAAACAGTCCTTGAGACAAGACTCTCTCCAAGTTAACCTCTGAACCTATCACTATTAGAATCAATCATTTTTATAGAATCAATTATCCCATAAAGAAAATTTTTTAGCAACAAACTTTTCAAAATTTATGAATAATTCATTGCTCCATTATCATTGAATCAAGCATCGCGAAAAGATATTTTATTTCACAAATAATAATGCACAAAATAAACTTTCCGCGTTATAAATGCCAAACGGTGCAAAGTTCTATTTTTCTTCTTCTTATGCTGCTTATTTTAATATTCTTTATTATTCGTAAACTTATGCACTGTATTTTGATTAGAAATAATAATCAGACATTAAGTTCTAGGGGCTTTCAGCAGCGAGATAATTCGAGAACGCTGCACATATTCAGTGACCGCATTATAGTAGCGGCAAAATAAATTAATACAAGATGATCTATAAATAGAAGTTTGAAACACAAATATCTCGGTCGTCTACACGCGATCATTAAGTGAGATGAATATTCTGATCATAAATTACGTAATTTACATCAAACAATGAAATTTTTTGTTATTTGTCTTTAGCGCCACCTGGATCAACAAAAAAATGTTTTTAACATTCTTGTCTTGACTGACAAGTTCCAAAGAAATTTACGGCCACAAAAAAGTCACATTTGTGTAAGTGATTATGCAATTATTTAAGATCATTTACATGCTAGCGACCTCATCGGATAATAAATAACATTTTTCACATGTTTAAAGCCACAAAATTGTCTATCACGATATCTTCACGTTTAAGGAACGCATTAAATTTTTATCTTTTATTCCACATGCTTCTTTTCTACGCCGCACAAGTCTTTATTATTTTTTATTTCACACAGATTGAGAAAAATATTTACTTTTTCTTCTTCCCAGCACGAGACTACAAAATAAAAATTATTTTCCTTAAAATATAATTTCCAACTTAATTCGATCGTAGCCGCAACAGAACTGAATTTACTCACTTAAATAAATTGTGTTTTCGTATTTTTCTCAAGTTCAATTTAGAAATATCAGCCGGCTTTATGTGCCGAAGAGAGAGAATGTGAGAATATGTAAACGACAACAGAGAGCGGTTCTTGATAGCGATTAGTTGAAACTGGTTCCTTTACTTTTATTTCTTATAGCTTTTTTGTGTTGGATTGTACAAAAATTGATTTCATAAGATTTTTATTTTTTGCTGTAGCTGCAAACAATTTCATCCAGGACAATAACAGAGATTTACGCAAATGGCAAAGCTCATAAACAAATTAATTTTATTTTTCTGCTTATAAAATTAGCACATTAGTTTATGGGGCAATAATGATTGATATAGAAAGCTGCGATAATAAATATTTATTCGGAATCTTTATGAAATGTTTGCTTTTACTGCTACACACTGCAGTATTGAATCGGAATCAATCTGGGTGCGATTAAAGTCGTGCAAATCGATTTATGATTCATGACTTTCATTTTCCGGTTCTTTTTGCTTCTTTTTATCAAAATTGCTACATTTTCATTCTTTTTCGTATTACAAGCTTTAGTTTACGTAACTATGCATAGTCCTAAACAGCAAAAGAATTACTTAAAAGGGCAATAAATCCAATTAAATGAAATTTTTTATTCATAGCTACTTTAATGTTACATAATCAATTCTGTGGATGGCTGAATCATCTGTGATAAGAGCTCGTACGACATAATATATTCTGATTAACAGGTTTAATGTTTATTTGAATCGCAAACTTAGTGAATGTCATACAATTAAGTGAATCTTGCTAGAAATCCTTGAAATGTTATTTATTGCTTTTATTCTGAGAATTCTTTATTGGAATCAATAAACAGACCATTAGTTTGTGCAAATTTAGTCTCTGCTTCAAGATTGTTCTACAAAAACCTCAACTTTCACCATTTTTATTCATCACTGGATCTCAAAATAAATTAACAAATAACTGAGTCGTAAATTGCCAAATAAACTGTATCATTAATTAGTTGTGAAATCCCACTTTTTATTAATTAAATTAACAACTTTTTTGAGATTGCATCATTAAATCCACAATAGTTAAAGTTGAGTAAATTATGAGATAAATTAGCAGTGTTTTTATGTATTTTACATTAGAAAAGTAATTTCAACTACGCAAAATATCATTTTTTGGAATGTGTTATCTTCAATTATTTTGAGACACGAATTTTTATACTTTTAAATTGATAATTACTTACTTTTGATATTAAATAATAACTTTATTGCCTTCTTTATGATTAGACCGACTTCTTAAATATAAATATTGTCCAGGACCGATTAAAATTGACAAAAACTAAAACTGTGCATGCAAATTATTGATTAATCTGGGAACCGAGTATGAAATGCTTATATCACGTGGTTGACTTTTGCGCACTTTTTAAAATTTTGACCGTTAAATAATTACAAATCATGTGTTCAGTCAAACTATAAGCTTACCAATGTAAATTCATTTATCATTTAATTTAACTAATCAGTAAGACACACAACGTTAGACTAACAAAATGAGAACTGAAGCATGTTTCGTACCCGAAGAGAGAAATTTGCACAAAAAACACATGGTATTGTGAGAGAAGAGAAAATTTGAGAGAATTGAGCTTTTAATGAATAAGAAAGCTTTTTTTATGAATGGGACAAGAGATTTCTGAAAGCTTCATGTCAAATGGGGCTTTCATTAAAAAGCTTGATTTAGTTTTGAAAAGCTTTTTAACGGATTTTTGATCAAACTTTGCAAGAGCACGTGCTTTATCTTGGATCAATCGTTCTTAAAGAAGAGAAGGGGTTTGAAGCTGTATGTCAATTCTACAAAAAATAATTCCACGAAAGTCATAAATAAAAGATCAGCAAACTACTAGCAAGACCATTCTAAATTCTTAACTTCAGTGTTAATAATTAGCACCATAAAATGCAAACTCATAAAAAAGATCTTCACTACAATATCCAGTCACATTCAATCTACCAAACATGAAGCATCTTATCATCATCATCCTCATAACCGCATTAAATAAAGCTACATGTCTTTTAACATTTACAACGGGTTCAACAAATGGAGTAAGTTTATTTATCAATCTTAAAATCCATATCATAACTTTTCGTGAAGATCTCCAAAACTGAACGCTTGCATTGATGGAAAATTTGATCACATGGTTTACCAGCTTCTCCAAGCATCTCAGCCTTTAAGTAGTCATAATGCTCTTTGTTTACTATCACATCAGATGTTGAAGACGGGCTGGAATAGAAAATAATTTTTAAAATTTTTTTTGACAAACTTAGAAGGTGAAGTTCCTTACGTGAAGAACAAGTGAAATAATTGTCCAAAAAGTCCATTATGGAATCCAAAATTCGATTCAGCTGCTTCACAAATTGATCTTAAGACACAATATCTTCCTTCTAATCCTTTTGCTGTGAGCATCTTTCCAAAACCATCATAAAGCAGCCTGAAAATGAGCAAAAGTTACGATTAGAGACGCATATGGTTACAGACTCAGTAACTCAACACTAGACTTTGTCTTCAGTTTCTGAAGCTATCAATTTGGTTTAATTTACCATCGAGTTCCACTCGTATCCATCAATTCTTCCTTCGTTTTCAATGGATAATCACTAAGTTTTGGTTTATTTCCTTGATTATCAATGTAATCATCAAACATTTCATCTTCTTCATCGTCATACAGATTGTTAATTTTTAATTCTACATTGCCAACTTCCTTAACTTCAACATCATATTTTTCGTACTTTTGTCCAGAAAGTTTGTCAATCAAAATTTCACGTTTTCTTCGACCTCCATTAGGGAAAGGCTTCCATCTAGTTTCAACATACTGTGAAACTGTATTCAAAGCAGTTTTAGTCAAGTTTTTTGGTGGAGTCAAAAGACCATTGTAGTTGGACCAAACTCCAGGAAAATAAGGCCATTTAAGTTGCTCTGCTGTCGATTCAGGTAGAAAGTATTGAGCTTTTACTGTCCAACCTTAAAATATTTAAGTTGGATCACAATATTCTTTCACTAGCGCTTGACTTACCATAAGTAACAGCTTCATTCTCAAGATTTAACGGAACTCCCAAACCCAGAATTAATTGATGTCCTAAATATTGATTAAACTTTGATTTAAATTATTTTTTCATTATTAATTAAAAGGACCTACTAGTAGGAGACGTAGGAGGCACAACCAACTCATCTGACCACTTAATTAAATTTATCACTAGAATTATTAAATATATTTCAATCATCTCAACTCTTTGGCTTACGGAATGTGACTAAAAGTTATTTGTTTCAAGAATATTTTCTATTTAGGCAGACACACTTTAATTACCAAATGTCTATATAGTCCAAATTAATGTGCTAATTAGTGTGAAACCTTACTTTCATCTTTCTTTATTTCGTGCATCAAAATACCACTTTACTGTTCTTTTTTCTTGGCTGTAAAGCTAGGAAGCTAATGATTTTATATCCTGGAAATTTAATTTTATGTACATCCTTGACTTAGGATTGGTGATTCATATGCAAAGTCTATCTATGTAAAATTGTAAAAAATTATTTTAATATTCATGGGAGTTTAATTTAAATCTCTAAAATCCAAATCATAAACTTTTGTAAAAATCTCCAATATTGATTTTTTGCATTGATGGAAAATTTGATCACATGGTTCACCAGCTTCTCCAAGCATCTCAGCCTTTAAGTAGTCATAATGTTCTCTATTCACTATCACATCAGATGTTGAAGACGGGCTGGAATGGAAAATAATTTTTAATGAAATTTGATAATGTTAGAAGATAGAACTTCCTTACGTGAAGAACAAGTGAAATAATTGTCCGAAAATTCCATTATGGAATCCAAAATTCGATTCAGCTGCTTCACAAATTGATCTTAAGACACAATATCTTCCATCTAATCCTTTTATATTTAACATTCTTCCAAATCCATCATACAAGAGCCTCAAAGTTTCTAAAATTAAGGTTATGTTCTCTAGATTCTAAAGCTACTAATTTACCATCGAATTCCACTCATATCCATCAATTCTTTCTCTGTCTTCAATGGATAGTCACTAAGCTTTGGAATATTTCCTTGATTATCAATGTGATCATCGAATAGTTCATCTACTTCATCGTATAGTGCATCCTTTTTAAGTTGTACACTTCTAGTTTCCTCAACCTCAACATTATTACTTTCATACTTCTGATCAAACATTTTATCAGTAAATTCTTCACGTTTTCTTCGACCACCGTAAGGGAAAGGCTTTAATTTCGTTTCTAAATGCATCGCATCGTAATTTTTCCATACCCCACGAAAGTATGACCATTTTAATTGCTGAGCTGTTGATTCTGGGAGATAATAATGAGTCTTGATTGTCCAACCTTAAATTATTTCAGATTTTTGATCAAATTCATAATTCTTTTAAGTACATGATTTACCATAAACGACAGCTTCATGTTTAAGATTCAAAGGAACTCCCAAACCGATGGTTAACTGATGAACTATAAATTATAAATATTAGACTCCTTAAATTCAAAAATATTTATAAGAAAACTTACTGGTCGGGGATGAAGGAGGCATAACCAAAATTCCATCTGACAAATAAGATGAAGTTAAAACTAAAACTGTAAATAGTTCCTTAATCATTTCTTAACACTTTGGATTTCAGCTTGTGACTGATAATTAATGCTTTATTTCTTTTACATCCCGTTAATCATAAACTATGGACAGTATCTTGTTGCTCTTTCTCTACCACTCGGAAATCCAGAAAGTAATATTTTTATGTCATACAATTTTGAAGCAAATTATGCGCTACCCACAAACACGACTGTATTTACACAAGGAATTTATGATAAGATTCTGTTCATTAATGGTGTTGAGAAGAATGAGACTTCATCAAGAATGGCTGGATTCAATATATTCTCTAGGAAGCAGATTTACAGAATGATTGAAGACAAATTAGAACAATTTGGGATTAATGGAAGAGCTTGTTTGCTGAGGTTGATTTGCGATGTTGGACGAGTTGATCTGAGAGGAATCAATGGAGTTCTTGGTTCTATGGCTCATATTCTGTTTACGTAAGTACAATTTGAATCAGTTTGAATCAAAGTTCGAAGGCGATTCAAATCGAGGTAGAGTTGACCAAACCTAGTCGATTTCGAGCTCTGGTCTGAGTCTCCTCATTCATATCAAGTTAGTTTTTCATTAAATCAAAAACTCATTGAAAATCACATCACTTACTTTTATATCAATGCTTTATCAATCAACTTTATTTCCAGACCATCATCATCAACAGTCGAATCAGACATGGAAGACTACATCGATGCCGAAAGTTCTAATAATAACTGTTCAAAATATCGCAAGAATTGTCAGATCAAACTATTAGATTCGATTTCAGAACCAAAATAAAGTATATACTCTATAAATAAATAGGTCAATATACAAAAGATTCTCTCTTAATGTTTGCATAAGCAATTGATACTTTCATTGAGAATGTACGAAGTATTGACACAATTCTATGGAGAAAATATTTCTAGCAGTTTCCCTTCCACTTTACAAGTACTGTAATTATGTACTCGTTACGGTTCATTTGATTTTTATCATTCATGGTTCAATGATGACTTCCTTATTTTTAAAATCATTAATTTTTGTAATAATTGTGACTTGTGGTAGTTGTGTACATTTAAGTGATAATGAGAAGGATGAACGACTTAAGCATGAAATTGTTAAACGTGGTCTTGGATGGCCTTGGCTAATTTATGGACTTAATGCTGCAACAGGTAAGGGGCCGTTCACTTATTACGTTCGCATTTTAGGGGGGAGGGGAGGTTTGAAAAATTTTAACAAAATGTAACATAGGGGGGGGGGGGGGGGGGGGTCAAGAAGAATGTAACGTTCTAACTGTCGCCTGTCTTTAAAAAAAAAGATCACGAAAAAAATTTGTTTACAAATTCACACCAAAACATTTTTTTAAATTTTCCACCTTTTTAATGATTTATGAATGTCCAGATCACTTTTGATAGCTAAGAAATACATAGTTTTTGTTATATAAAGTAACAAATCAATAGAAAACTGGTTTACAAGACTTTAAAATACAATCATAATTTGTGGAAATTTTCAAAATTAAATCAATCATAAGTTTAAAAATAAATCTCTCTAAATCTGTCATTCATATGATGATTAATATGAGCCCATCATTGTGATATTGAAATCAAAGTTGATTGAATTTTCCAAAATTCAATCGGGCATAATATTTTTCATGACATTTTTGAATTTTCTTTAAAAAAAAAACAAATTTTTGCTTTATATCTTAATCCAATAATTCATGAGAATACTAATAGTATCAATCAAAACATGACCTATTTAGCTGGACAGTATTTTGATGTTTAAGAAAAAAAATACAAAAGAAATTTAACCGTCTTTTTAGAATAAAAAATTATTAAAATAAAATAAATTATGAACGTTCAGTGGGGGGGGGGGGGGGGGGCAGCCTCTAATCAGTAATCTCTTGTTTATTTATTTGACTGAACAAACAATTTAAATTCAAGGCATTCTCGTTGCTATGGCGATTCCTCTTCATGACCTCGACAGAAATGTCTTCATGTCATACAATTTTGAAGCTAATTACAATATGGTAGGTCAGCCATCAGATTCTGTTCCCGGACCTCCTTATGTGAGATGGAAATTGGGATCAACATTTGAGGATATGTCAGTGAATCCAGCCGCAGATGCTGGAATTGATGATTCTATTGCTCGAAGTTTGAATAAAGGAAATGAAACAGTTATAGATGAAGAAGTGACAACGACGCAAGAAGGTAACCATATTGATGAATTGCAAGCTAATGATATCAGGAAGAGGAGCTTATTGGATAGAGTGATACTTTCAAGAAAAGGAGTTTACAGAGTTCTAGAGAGTAGGATAACTGCGTAAGTCAGAATACGTAAAATGAGTTCTTAGTGTTAAAGTTTGAAAACTTACAGAAATGGTGTAGATGGAAAGAAATGCCTCCTACGTGCTATATGCGAATCAGCATCAAATTCACTGTTAGAAGCCAATGGAGTCTTAGGTCACATTCTGCATATCATTCTCACGTAAGTGAATATTAATTTCTCTCTAACATTAACCTTAGTAAAATTTTGATTTTAGGCCGTCGTCATCAACAGATGAAAATCTACCGACGGAATATAATAAAGCAGAAGAACTAGGTTATAAGAACGACTGTATAAAATATGTGAGAAAGTGTAATTTAAGCTTACTTGATGCCATCTCTACCTTTGTATAAAAGTTCTTGCTGATTATCAAATAATCAAATAAATAATCTATTGATATTTAATTAAATCACTTTTGTTCTTAATCTCTGTTTTCTAGATAATCCATTTAGTCAGATATCAGACTTGGTTAAACTTAGTGAAGATTCATCTGCTTCGTTTATCCAAATATTGATAGTTTACTTAATGAAAAGTTATCTAATAATGTGATCCGAAACAGGATTCCTTTAAAAGCACACTAATCCTTCCTTTCTTCAAGAAGAGTTATGCGAAAAACTAACCTTAATAGTTGATAATAGTCAAAACTGTTATTTCAATTCGCATATTTAAAACTTAGTCCACATATAAGCACAGTATTTTATGTTCCAAAACTCCTTAAAACATATTCTCAAACCAAAATCACTATCTATACTGCAAGATATCTAAATTGCTTGAAACCTTTGAAAATAATCCCATGATTCAATCTTCTTTCACCTTAAATTATTTTTAGACATGCCAAACGACTACATTGATATTAACAAATGAAATCAATTCAATTTTAGAACTAGATAAGTTCCAGAGAATTAGATAAGTCAATAAATAATCTCTGTTAGTGATTGGATTATAAGAAAATAATAGATGAAGCGTGCCACTCAATAATAATCATATGATAAATTTTACGTACCATAATTCTGTTCTATAACCCCCTTCTACATCACAAGAACAGTAATTTTGGATAGTGGCTACGCTTCATTTCATTTTGATCATTCACGGACCAAAGATGTCTTTGAATTTGTTCATTTTAATATTACTTGTGACGGGTGCAGTTTCTTTAGTTTTAGAGGAACATGAGAAGGATGAACATTTTAGACATGAAATCGTTAAACGAGGACTGTTCTGGCCTCAACTTCTATTCCCATTGAATGCTGCAACAGGTAAATTAAATATCCAGTTCTAGAACCAATAATTGACAAAGAATCTTATGATTTCCAGGCATACTTGTTGCTGTTGCTGTTCCCCTTCATGACATTGACAGAAATGTCTTCTTGGCCTACAATTTTGAAGCTAATTACAATTTAGCGAATGTTCCATCAGATTCCTTTCCCGGTCCACCTTTTAAACGATGGAAATTGGGATCAACTTATGAAGACATGTCAGTAGACCCTTCGGCAGATACTGCAATTGATGATTCTTTTGCTAGAAGTTTGAACAAAGGAAATGAAACAGTTATGGATGAAGAAGTGACAACGACAGAAGAAAGTAACAGCATTGATGACGTGGAGGCTAATGAGATCACAAAGAGAAGCTTATTGGATAGAGTAGTGCTGTCTAGAAAAGGAGTTTACAGAGTTCTGGAGAGTCGGATATCTGCGTAAGTCTGAATGCAAAAAATTACAAATTTCGTAATCTTATAGTTTGAAAATGTACAGAAATGGAATCGACGGAAAGAAATGCCTCCTACGTGCTATATGCGAATCAGCATCAAATTCACTGTTAGAAGCCAATGGAGTTTTAGGTCACATTCTGCATATTATTCTTACGTATGTTAAAATTAACTTCTGTCTAATAAAGTTAAAACTTAGAAAACTTTCACTTTAGGCCGTCATCATCAAAGGATGAGAATCTACCATCTGAATATAATAAAGCTGAAGAATTAGGTTTAAAGAAAGACTGTACGAAATATAAAAGAAAATGTGATTTTAGTTTATTGGATGCTTTGTCTAGTTTTGTGTGATATTACTGAAATAATTACGTCTTAAATTGCTAATAAACAGAAGTTGGTTTGAGTTCACTGAAATTCACTCGAAGTGATCATATTTGAGTCAAATTGTTAAATCCTTGGAAGAAAGATTTTATTGAATAATTCATAGCTTTTATCATCATTGAAACCTTTTGGATTGTTATCAAACCACAGTTCCTATGAACATTGTCCTGTTTAGAATTGATCATTCGCATCTTCTGAAATATCCAAAATCCAGGCTAGGAACATAAATTTTGTTGAGCTATTACTCAAAAATAGACTTGTCTAAATTCATCTGGAAATAATTTGAATAATGAAAATGAACATGTCACGATCCCCTTTTCTTCTGTTCCATTTCTCTACATTCATTCATTATCCATTGTTCTTTTGGAATCTGAACAGTATAGATCGTCAGTCATGAACCAAAATTTTAGGATTTTAGTGGTATTTGTGGCACTTTTGCAGGAAATTAATTGTGCAGTTGAGATTGATAAATCATTGACAATATCCAGGAGGAAAGATAATGACAGATCACTCACAATATCGAGAAAGAAACGCTTGCTGCCTGTTATACCTCCTGCACCTCCTCTATTTCCATCAATTCTTTATGGATATAATGCTGCTACTGGTATTTTGTGTGCTATAGGTATGAAAATCCTTTAATTAGGGTTAATGTAATAAAAATGAAGCTTAGTGCCAAAAGCTTACGTGGCAAGTGCTTAAATGAGTTAAATTGTGTTTTTTTACAGCTGTACCTGTGGCATTGGAAGAGTACAACGTTTTCGTATCTTACAATTTTGAAGCTAATTACAACATGGCTAACGTCCCTGGAGATGCTTTTCCTGGACCTCTAAACCGTCTCAAATTAACTGATAAATATCCAACTGTAGATCCACTAGCTGATGCCAACTATGCTGATGTTGTTGCAAGAAATATGAAACGAACTAATGAAGATATTGTCGAAGTTGAATCTGAAAATGCGACTTTAAGAAATATAGATGACGAGACTACGATTCTACCTGAGACAGAACATGAATTCACGAAAAGAAGTCCAATTTTTAAGACAATTTTCACAAGAGTTGGGATTTATACGATGCTTGAAAGTCGACTGGATGCGTAAGTGATGATATTTTCTATAGATGTGTAAAACTGATGCCTTTAAAATTTAGGAACGAAATCAACGGCAAAAAATGTCTGCTCCATGCAATTTGTGAATCAGCTAAAGCATCATTTTTGAGCGGAAATGGAATTTTAGGGCACATATTTCACATTTTACTGACGTAAGTCATTCATGCTTCATACGAAATGTGTTAATTAAATATTTTCAATATTCAATTTTAAGTCCGTCATCATCAGTGAAAGAGAAAGAACTGCCATTGGAGTACTACAAAGCGGAAATACTAGGACTGAAAGGAGACTGTACAAAATATGAAAAGGCATGCAATTTAAATGTTCTCGGTTTATTTTCAACAATTATTTAAAGGATTTTTCTCATACATTATAAAATAAATTTTTTTCATTTTCGCTCTCATTCGCATGTTAATAATTTTTCAGTTTTTTTTGATTAAATCAATTTTTTTCAACAATCTATAATTAATAATATAGTATATAGCAGTAATAATATTCAATTAATAGCTTCCATTCGATATTAATTGTTTTTTAAACCTTTGGTTCATCCTGTTTCATAATTTCCTTGATTTTTTCATCACAAATTGGCACAACATCATCAACATGCAACGATTCATTGTGTGACATATTAATGTCTTCTACGTCATGCTTCTCATTCCATTCAATTTGCTCCAAATTATCATCTTCATCATCTTTCAATGTATCATCAAAATCATGCTCCTGAGTATGAAAAATTTCAGCTGATAAAATATTAAAGTCAATTGTGTCAAAGAAATCTGGCGGTGGTAAAAGTTCCATGTTTGCTGCCAAGCTTTGAGTTATCCCTTGACAGAAATCATCATCAATGTACAAATCCTCAGTCGAACGTGTTTCCTGTTAAAATAATAAATTTTTTTTGATTAATTTTTATTTTATCGTATTTTCAATTAATACATACCGCAAGCTGTTGACATTTCCGAATGGCAGCAAGAGATTGTAAACTCTCATCATATTTAATTGATTGGAGACTATCGGCTATGCTTGATGCAATCGAGAATCTACCCGAATTTTGAACTGAAGGAATTAAACAATTAATTTAATTTGGACTATTGTGAAAAGACTTAAATTAAATCTAGGATTTTAGTCAGATTAACGTAAGATTAAGATTAATGTTAAGATTTAAGCCAGATATAAAATTATATCCATAACTTACGTTTTTGCAGAATCTCGGCCGGAATCATTGTAAACCCACAGTTGCGACAAAAATACTTATGTCCAGCATTTGTTACCATCATTTCTTCATTGCAGTCCTTTGAGACTAAGCTACTACAGCTGGCTGATATTTGGTCATTTTTGCAAGTCAACATTGATTCTTTTCCCTTAAAATGAGCTTGAAATCGCTTAAAAATCTCAGCATTATTTATTACTTGTTCCTGTACATGCTTTAAATGCGTAACATCACTTGATCGTCCAGTAATCTTCTTTAAATTCAACGTAACTTTTGTCGTGATTTTCTTTGGCGTTTGTGTCGATGTCGTTGATTGATTCACAAGATTTTCCAATCTTTTAACTTTTGGCGTGTCATTATTAATTTGCAAATTCTCCAATTTTTGAATTGATTCCGATGCTTGCATAAGACATTCCGTTCCATCATCTACGCAATTCTCTTTTGTTAATGCTGGAAATTCACATTCTTCTGTTTGTGTCTCTTCACATATTTTCTCATATTTATTCCCATCATCATGATTTGTTGATGGATGTTTTACAATGTCTACTTTTGAATTTGGATTATATGTTGTCTCAATTAGTTTGACTGTATCTCGTACACTCATTGGAAGTGGAATTATAACTTTTTCTTCAATTTCATCATCATCGTCATCGTCAATCGTTGGCAATTCTTGTGGCTCAAAAATCTCTAATGACTTTTCATGATTTATCTTATTACGTTCTTCCTCAAATTGTGTCGTCTGCAGAAACGATCGATCACGTTTATTTTGTATGGCATCGCTTAACATTTCTGGCATTAATGGATAATACTTCTTATTGATATCTTCAGTGTAACTTGTCTTATTGAGATCTATATTATTAATTTTTACAATTGGTGACAATTTACTTCCTGAATTATACAATTTGATATTTACAGACGACGAATTTGATTGCGACTGATTAAGATTAGTACTTTTTGGTGTTGTATTATGAGCATCGAGATCATTATGATGGATCTTAATATTCACATTGTACTGTTTCAGATTTGGTGCCTTTGAGTCATTTAGTAGTGAACTGTTAGTAAACTTTATGCTACGCTTGGCAATATCATCAGATATGTGAGTACTTGAATGATGTCGCTGATTATCAGAAAGCCATGCATTTCTACGAATCATATTTTGACGTGCAATTGGAGTTAATGGAAGGGAAAATGAATCATTGGACGGATATCGATGCAAATTTGAACCACAAGCATCACTTTCACTGCGTTTAATTCCAACAAATTCAACTGCTTGGTCATTCTTTGGAAGTTCCTCAAATGAACGACTTAAATTGTTATTGTCCTGAATTCCTTTGTTAAGAAATGACGACAATCCATTGTCTTTCTTTGCTTTTCCACGATCTTGAATTTCTTTTACGATTTCCTGCATAAAGTCACTTTTATTATAGTTACTAATAATCAAGTTTAATTCATCATTCATCTTCTCAAATTGATCCCTTAAAACTTTCTTTTCGTCAACATTTTCTGGTTTTTCTTCAAAAACTTCAGGCTTTACATCAAATAATCCTTTAACTGACTTTTTATTTCCAGTTGAAGCACCTGCTTTTAACCTTTTCTTTAGCGTACTTGTTCGTTCATAAATCACATCCTTGTCAACTTTTGGTGTCTGTAGACGATCAAAGCCAAAGAAACTTTGAAACATTGTCGAGTTTTTGCTGTGCTCAAGATGTTCTTCATCTCTCTTGCGGCTCGGCTTCTTCGGTGTAAAATCTCGTTGACTTTCAACTGTCTTACGAATTCTATCGAGAGCATCATCTTGTAAAATTCCAGGAGCTTGTTGACTGAATGACATTATATTTGCCTCAATTTCAGAACTTTGTACTGATTCCGAGATTTTCTGTGACGTGTCACGAAGTCCCATATCAATAAGATTCTCAGTTGTTAAGGCATTCTCGAATCTCTTTTGTGGATCATTAATTTCAGTCTTTGAGAAGTAAATTTTTTCACGCAACTTATCACGTTGATCTGAATTCTTAATATTCTTTTCGGATTTATTTTCTTGTCTTGGCTCAATAATCTCCAAAACCTCAATTTTGTCTTTTTCATAGCCGAGTAATTGGAGATCTTCAAGCATTATAATGAATGTAGATACGCTTGGTAATCGATATTTGAAGTCGGCATGCAAACAGCTTTCAAATATTTCCTTAAAAATAATGGAACTTTTATCGAGAACTGGTAATTGGATTTTTCCTTTAATTAATCCACTTATCAGCTCATCGTGATTATAAACAACATAAGGAACAACTCGATTAATCAATTCCCACAACATTAATCCCAAACCATAAATATCGGATTTAATTGTTGGTCGAACATATTTAACAGAGTTATTATTTGTTGGAACTAGCAACTCGGGAGCTTGATAAAAATGCATTGAATACATTCTTCGGTAAGCAACTGAATAAGGCAAATTAGACTCTTCATCATTATCCTGAATGTCATCCTCAAATCTCGAAATTGGCAATGATGTTCGATTGTAGAAATGTTGCTTTGACAATTTTCCATACTTTTCAGCAGCCAAATCATCTCTCGTAATATCATGACTGTAAATGTCCATGTCAGCATTAACTTTTTGCATCTCATAAAATTTTCCAGTCATTTCACGTGGCAAAATTTCAGTAACTAATTCAAATGATGAAAGTTTAACAGCAAATGGATTTTCACGAATGAGAACAGCATGACTGCTTATGTTTGAATGTATAAAACCGCATTCATTGAGGTATTGTGTAGCGCTTGCAATTTGATGGATTATCGATACGGTTTGTTGGATATTGTAGAATTTATCCTATAAAGAGAAATTTTCGATTTTGTTTTGCGTTAATTATGGGAAAAATTTTACTTTCATCTAGCTGCTTGTTTGCTTTACTTACCATTTGATGTAGGTAGTGATTCAATGTGTAGTCAAACGGCTCCATGATCAAAGACGTAACACGCAAATCCTTGTCGAAGCTTATTCCCATCAATGTAACGATGCTTAAGTGCTTAACTTGACTGCAATATGTAATTCATTAATAACTGTATACCTAATTTTAGCAGTACAAGTACTTACCACAAAATTTCAAATTCATGTTTACATCCACTATCGGCAAAGTTACTAATACTGTAATTATTAGGCAGTGTGCTTCTCATTGTAATCGGTGTCTGATGAAAATATCCGTTTGAGAATTCTAGAGGTGTTGAGAATGAGTTCCTTAAAGATCCAGGCTTATACTTAATGTCACCAGCATTGAACACTTTAACGCCTTTTTGAGCAACATAGCATTCCTGAATTGGCGATAAATTTCGATCATTCTTCTCGAAATGTTGTGTCCATTTGGATAGAGCATCTAAATCTTTCATAATGTCACCAGTTTGCATTGGGAATGCAAGTCCACATTCATTAGATTTATCTAAATCAGTTACTTGAACATTTTGACGTTCATGGATGTCAATCGACTGAAAAACTTTTTGTGCGTCTTCGCCAACATCAATTTGAGAATTAAGAAAATCAAGTTTTGAGTTAAGGAATTTAAAGTTTTGATCAATAAGTTGATCAAATTGTGCTGAGATTTGATGTTGTGTGGAGTTAGGAATTGGAGCGACAGGCAAAGGAGGTAAATCAAGAGTAGAATCACGTTCATTGTAAGGTAGAGCATATTCAACTTCCTCTCCATGCTTATTGATTACTGTCTGATAATTAAGCAGAGATAGACGACGATTCTTTATCAAATTATTTTCATTGATGGTATCGGATGATAAAGAACCACTACTTGCACTTTCACCAACGGAATTTATATTTTCCGGATGCTCTTTTCTCATTCTACCTTTATAAGCTTTCGAAGAAATCACAAACTCGTCATCAACCGAGGCTGTACTCACATCATAGCGCTTAAAGTTTCCATTATAAAAATTCACTGTTGATTCTGTTCCTGCATATCCTTTATTTCCATTTATAATCAGCGGTGGAGGCTGTGGAGCTTTCCCTTTATTGCGTTTTAACATATTCTTTCCCATTAATCTCTTCGGTGTTGGCTTTGTAGCACTTTCGACTGTCTTTTTAGCTGTTGAATCATATGGATCGCTATTATTATGATAAAATTTTGATGGCGGTGTCGTAATTGAATTTCCAAATGACTCGTCGTCAATTCTATTACAATGATTCTGTTCAAACTCTTCAATTTCATCTATTGTACTTGTTGGTTGCAATTTCTTGGCATTTTTATTGCGTCCATTATTATGTACTGTTGAGTCATGTATTATCGGAAGTGAAAAACGCTTATTTCTACCAACTTCCTCAGGATTACAGTTAGTATAAATAGCGTCAGTCTTACTGCTATCATGCTTGTGACTGTTATGCTTACGATGACTTTTTAAGCGCTCACGTTCATATGCTTGAATCTCAACATCTGTGATGGACACTGAATCAACTGTCTTATTATTATTATTTGTTGCCGTTACATCTAATTGTGTGGCTGTGCTTGTATTCTTTGTCTCATTAAGGCGTTCAAACCTCCCACTATGTCGATATTCACGAAACTTCTCAATTGCCCTTCGATACGCTGGATCCTGATACTGTAAATTTTGAATTGGCGGTGGTGCACTTTGACGACGCTGCCTTGATGTCGACTCAATTTCTCTGTTGGTTAAAAAAAAGTAAGGAAAAATTATTTTAAATGAACGAAAAAAGAAAATTTTTTTGATTATTTAAATTTCATCGAATTGGTCATGCTGTCGAACGATGAAGAAAAAAATGAGCATTTAAAGCCGATTGTTTCTCTTTCGCGCGATTCTCCAATTTGCAACGCATCGATTCATATAGACACAACTTTTTCTTTAATAAACACATGAAAAGATCAGCAAAAAAAAACACAATTGAGACATGATGTTTGTTTAGAAGTTAATTGCATGTAATTTATGCTTGTCAAAACATCAAGAGCAACTTACTTGCAATTAGCCTAAAGCTATTCGCATGCTTATTCATCACACACGATCATGCATTAATTAAATAGAGTAGATGAGAAAAATAAAAACTGTTACTTTCAATTACATCATGATTATGCTCTTTCGTAGTCAACTGTTTGGACTTTATGTGTTTATTTTATTTTTTGTGTCGCGCAATTCTTATATGTTTGTTGTGACTGTTTTTATTCGATTTGTAGTTGCTGATGACATAATTTTGATAGTGCTGTGATGGGAAATAAAAAGCTTTGGAAGCTGGTGTGAAACTTAGTATTTTAGGAATATTTCGACTTTAAAGGACTGCTTGCAAAATAAAAGCAAACAGATTAAACATTTAAAGCCACAACAAAGTACAAAAAACAAAGCAATTAAGTACCAACGCACGAAACCGGACCATAAGTGATCACGTCTATCATAACTAGACTTCATGCAAGAACTAAATCAGATCAAAACACAAATCATCATTAATGTCTAAAATGCGTTTCAAACATCTATAAAAGTTGCATAACTGCCATACTTTTTATTTCAATCACCTCTTTTCATCGATAATGATCATATTTGGAATTTTAAAAGCTACGACTATCAGAAAATGTTACTTTCGATATTAATGAAGAATAAACAACATAAATTAATTAACAAATCCTCAAGTGACGACCCATGTGTCTACTTTTTATTTTTGCTAAATATCACATCATGAGCATAGCGAATAACAAAAAAAAAACGCTAGTAATGAAATTTTCACAAATCATTCTGTTACGCTAAATAGATTTTTTCATGCTCACAAGGCACACAAATGCTTCAGCATTAACAATACAAAAGAAATATCAATTTCTCAAAACAAAAATGTTAAAAGACTTCTTCGGTGTCAAAGCATGGCATCATGCAAAAATGTGATTAATGTTTACTAATAATGCCTTTATAGAGACATATTAATTATGACACTAATAATAATTAACCACAAAACAGTTATAAAAACATCGGATGTATGAAAATTGTCGCTTGATTGATAACTTCTTATTATTACTTATTGTGAGACACAAACAACAGAAGCAGAAGTAAAATGAAATGTTTATGTTATAAATCCGCAAGTTTCCGTCTTCATTTCTTCTTTCCTTTTAATAAGAAATTAATTAAGTTATTTTTTAATAAAACAGTAACATCAGCAGCGGCACAATACAACGTTGTGAGGTAAATTGAATTTTCATGGTAAAAGCAATTAGAACTCTCGTGGACGTTTTTGGGGAAGACAATGAAAATTAGAAGTATGAAATCATATATTAAAAAGCTTTACAGCGTTGTTGTAAGTCATAGTCATCATATATCGTTTAGATTCCACAGATCGGTAATCAATGTTTTAGACATAATGCCTTGAAAGGAAATGGTTAAGAACCAACAACTGGCAATAAACTGTACCCCCCAATTTCATCCTAATCCAGTGTAAACAGCAAAAAATAACCCAGCCAACTTTCATTCCAAAAATTCATAAACTATGCTAAAAAGCGTAAAGTAATCAATCTCCATTGTTTCTTACATTGTTCCAAATTCCAACAAAATATAAAAACTCTGAGATGGAAACAAAGTCTTAAGAGATCACGAATAGAAAACAACAATAGATGTGATGCCGATGCAATGTGTAATATAATAATTAGCACCATAACATTTTTTTTACAGCAAAGAAGTAATTTAGACCATCACATATGTGCGATGAAGAACATAATATCGAAAGCCTTGTGTGTGGTTTACTCTAAAATCTTTTAGATCAATAGCTTGCAAAGTGTTCTTGAACTGACTTAATGAATTGTTGGATATTAATAAGTTTGGAATCAATTAATTGCTGCTTTGTTATTCTCAACAATTTTCAAATTTTAAATAATAAGAAAATGAAAAGAATTCAAGAAACAAGAAGTAATGAAGCGTGACATTCGATCAAACAGTGATTTTTTTTTCAATTGAAATAAGAATAGAACTAAGAAATTCCGAAAGAAAGTAATATTTTACATGGTCATCATGCTTTTCCAATCACATTGATTGAACCTCATGAAATTCCATTACAATTTTATTTCCTGACCATAGGCTTTTTTTCTTACTTAAAATGAATTTAAATTCCGACAATCAAGAAGAAGTAGATGTAAAGAGTTAGAAGAGACCGAAGAAAAATTTCCTCTTCATGCGTTTCATTTCACTTTTCTTTGATGTTATTATTCTTTCATACCAATTTGTCTTTTTACACGCATTGTCTGAGTCGATGGAGTAGCGGTATTGTTCGAATTTTGATCGTCTGTCCGACTATATTATTTTGTGTGCCGAGTAGTTTCGTTAGTCACGGTCTATTGATCTCATTTGTGGTTATGAATTGGACTTTTTTTTTTGTTGGGACTATAGAAATGAATTTGAATGAAATTTTTCAATTAATTTTGCAATACAGTCACTGGTCAGGATTGATATTAATCCACAAATGAGGTCTGTTGAAAATTAGAGTGAATTGTGAGAGCTTCATAAAATGTTTAAGAATTGAAATCTGACTTTGTAGATAGCAAGAGATTACAGGAGAAGGTCTGTTGATTGTGTTGAATTCTAAAAGCCGCTAAGAAACGAAAGACCCGATTTCATACACAAATGCGCTTTATAAAACATCCAATCCATAATCATTAATTACTTACCACCTTCAAAGTGTTTTTTTTTTGTTATTTTCTTTCTCACATTCATGTAGCTACAATTAACTATTTTATTCTTTTTCTACAATTATAAAACCCAGCTATAGTTAATTTAATAAGATTGAATGAAAATATTTATTAATTAAAGAAAAGAAGATTGCAAATTCTTTTCATAAACAAACAAATACAAAAATTTGCTCTACTTTTTCGAGAAAGAATTTTCTTCAAATGATACTTTTAGAGATGTACTTAAGGTACAAGCAACACAAATCATGAGAATATTTATTTTTTTAAAATGGAATTTAAAAGTGAAGAGTACAAATCAAGAAGTATTTGGAGTGAAACAATATTTATGGCATTTTAATGTACATGCTTTACTCTTTCTCTGTACTACTGTCTACGTCTATGTATCTGTTTATTCTTTCTTCTTCTTTTTGACTGCTTAATTTATTTTTATTAAACATTTTTACTTTTTTTTGTGTCTAAAGATTTATTAAAAGTAATCAGCAAGAAAGTGAGTAAAAGTATCTCAGCGTGAGGGCGCATGAACAAAACGCATTTAAATTAATGGGCGAATAAATTGGTCAGAAGGAAGATTAGCGTAGATTTAATATCAAGAAATTGTAGCGTGTGAATTATCAGGTAGACTTTCAATAAATTTAGAGCTTTGCTGTTTCGTAAGTGAAGTATGCGTTTTGATTTATGAGATGTGGTTTGGCAACTTTAGGGAGCTTTAACTTGAAGGATCTGATACGCAATATCTGAAGCAGGGCTCGAAGTCGACCTACGAAAATCGGTTAAAATTTGAGCTTTACTAGAAATGATTTGACTATAGAAAGCCTTTATTCCAATGAAATGAGTTCCAATAGCTTCCATTACATTCCACTTCATTCCAATTAATTCCCATACATGGGAATGGAATGTTTTAATTCCAATATATTCCAAAAGTTCAAGTCAAATCTTTTTCCACTGGAATAAATACCTAATCTATTACAAAACCTCAATTTAATGGCTTGTTTTTGAGAAACTCAACCTCATAAATATTGAAATAAATTCATAGATTCATCTTAAATATCCTTCCCAACACAATAATTTTCGCAAGTTCTTATCTATAAAAGTTAAATCTAGCAACAAAAAAATAAAAGAATTAATTCAATGAATTTTTGCCGCTTCTATTATAAAGATTAACAATCAAAATGTTTGCCGTTTAATGAATGGAAAAAAGCCAGCAATGTATAAAATCATTTTTGTTACGAATGAGATATCAGTCAGTCTAAAAAAATTCAAAGAGTTTATCATAATTGTTAATTCTATAACAACGCAGCAAAAAAGAAGTGAAAAACTTTCAATTTTCTTTCGCCTGCTCGCATTTAAATCTTTCACTAACTGCTTAATTCATGCATCATCACACGATTTAGAGTAAATATTTACTTTTTCTCGCATATAATTAAAGGAAATTTAAATAATTTTTGCAGCTTTTCGTCTCTTCCATTTAAATGCGTAAATGTGTAGACAGTGTTCATGCAAAGTGACATAAGAATACCACAATAAGTTTTTACTCTTTTTTTTTCGGGGAGATATGCTTCAGTAATTCCACCTGATATTCAACAAAAAAAAAATGTATTTCTACTGCTGTTGTCTGATTTCGCCAATTTCAACAGAGATGGATTATGTACATGTTTATAAATGTATCTATCATTATAATAGCAGAAAGATCTCTTCACTCAGTACTTGCATGTTTAAAATACAGCTATTCTTATTAACCACAATAGTCGGTGGTGGCATTAGCGTAAAAGAGATATTTTTTTCATTCATTTAAATTGTACGAAATCTATTATGGGACGGCAGGTGGATGATGAACTATGAAGATTTTTTAATTCTTTTTAAACAGATTCAATTGTTGTTATTGGAAACATTTTATCTGAGTGCCAAGCCTACGAAAATTCTAATAAAAATAAGGGCACATCATTAATTCAGGTAGTTGAAGATGCTAATTTGCTAATATGCGATTTATATCAAGATCCAGCATGATCGTAATACACGTAAATTCCCAACATCAATTTTTTACATTTTTTTCTACCTAATATCCCGTTCTTTATGCTTTTAACAAACGGTTGTTATTGTTGCCTACAGAATAATTGTCTGCACATCATAAATTGACAATTGATGTTTATATTATTAAGCAAACTGTATCACAGTTTCCAACAACAGAGTATTCAACAATAATGACTTGTTTGGTATGAAATTTAAAATTTTTATACTGTTTACTGATTAATTATCAGAAATCAATCACTCTACATCTACTTACTTTTTAATCCATCCAATTAATCCCATTTTTTTGAGTCTACGCCACGCTTTTCACTTTTTATGATACAATTTTGATATTTATTCACTATTTATTTTGATTCATTTAATTGCACTTTTGAATAATGGATATTTCTTGTTATATTTATCAAAATCTTATCACTAAACTATGTGTTATACACCTTAAATTAATTAATTTCACTAAGCGAATGTACGAGCGATCTGTTCAGTCCGGAATGTTTTGTTCAAATGAATTCAAACTGATGAAAATTTCAAATGAAAACTCTTCTTGTATAGTTTGAAATTTTAAAAACCGTTAACACTGATCAATTGAATTTCTGCAAAAACTATTAAGTTTATCAATATTTACAAACATCCATTGTTCTTATGCTCTTAATCTTGATTCTTTTGCACTTTTTATGCATCTTAATAAGCTATTAATACAGCAGATATTCTCAACTGTCAAAATATATTTAAATTTCGAAATCGAAAATTTGCAACTTTTTATAGTAAACACTTTGTTGACATTCTCTTTTGTCTGTCTATTAAAATAGTTTTTAAAATCAGCTGGAAACTTTAATTAAACTAATACAATTAACAACAAATGCTATACACATACAAAGTAATTAACATTTCAACAACTCAAGTACAATTAGTGGAAGTAAAGTTGAAAAAACTGAAATGCGCTGTCATAAAAACTGGATGATTTTTTAACTGATTGAACCGCAAAGTTTAATAAACATTACAAAAATTAATTAAAGTTATTTTCCATAGTAACAGCTTAGTTTCCTAACACATTTAGTGCTCAAAATGTCCAATAGCTTGTACAAAAAGTCATTTGTAAGTTCCAGCTGAGTTCATCTTTAATAAAATTGAAATATTAATTAATTCGTATTTCCAGGGACCAGATCATGATGACATTTGGGACGATACATTGTTAATTAAAGCATATGAAGAGTCATTAAAGGTACAGAAAGAAGAAATTGCGAAAAATATTGCAATGAAAACGAATAAGAAGAATAATCCGGAAGAAATAGAAGAATCCAGTACATCAATAATCAATGACGAAAAATCTTTTAAAGTAGGTGACTTTGTCAGGTCCACATACGAGGATAATGTAGATTACGAAGCTGAAATATTGTCAATAAATGAAAATGGAACTGCTCTCATTCGGTATATTGGATATGGAAATGAACAGAAAGTTAAAAAAGAGGATTTAGTGGCATCTTGGGGATTTGAGGCACGAGAAGAACAAAAGCTATTGGCAGAAGCTGACAAACCTGTTGAAGAGGACAGGAATCATCAAGAGGAACTGCACAATTTCATTCTGAATAAATCTTCAGGAGTTCACAGCAAACTTCCTATTCCTCCCATGGTGAGTGTTTTGTGACATAGTTTTCTTGGTAGCTATGGCTTCATAATTGTTGACTTCCTTAAAGAATTTAGTAAAGCTAGATATCTTGTTTGTGTTATAAAATCTGACTATCTAATCCAGCGATTTAAATTAATCCATACTTAAATCTCATGATTTAATAATTAATCGTGAACAAACTATTAGGAAAGCCACAACAATATTCGACCTGCTAATCAGCAACGTTCTAAATTCATGGTCGATAGATTTTACAATAAATTTTATGTCTTTTTCAGCCACCACTTCCACCAGGCATGTTTAATAGTTCAAGAGATACAGAATATATGTCTGCGATGCTTATGTCGTGGTACATGAGTGGGTATTACACAGGATTATATCACGGTCGAAAGGAAGCAAAAGATGAACTTTCAGTGTCTATCGCACAACAACCAATAACAAAGAAATTACCATCGACATCAACAAAAGAAGAAAATCCAAAGCACGATAGGAAACGACAGAAGAAACGGAGTGTAAGCAGTAAAAGTCCAAAATCTGATTAATTTTCCATGTATTTTTTTCAAATTGAACAATAAATAATGCGGTCATAAAAATTTAATTAAACTTATTTATTATGCAAAAATATTAAGTTCACACTTCAAAATGTCGAAAAGAAAAATCACAATTAATGTTTAATTGATCATAAATACACAGCACAATTTAATTTATGTCATCATATCACACAAGTTTTGATTACCAAAGAATACACTTTTTATCGTCCGTTCGATGATACTTTTGTCCAATATGGCAATTAAATGCATTATGAAACTCTCTAGCATTCGATAAAACGCCCAACAATCGAATCCGTCCTGGACAGTGTGTATCTTCTAATGAAAATTTTAATCCCTGAAGCGACATTGTCTCGCACCATAAATTTCCATAGCTCATAAAGAACAGCTGCTCGTGACTAAAGCTCTCAAATCCTTTTACAGAAGAGAATTTTTGATTTTATTAATTTTTGAAAAAGGCATTCAGGACATTGAATCAATCTTGCCTGGCAATTTTTTCTCCATTCCATTCGTTTTAACATGATAGTTGTAACCATAAAAAGCTTCACGTAATCCACCTATGAAATATGATAGACATAGAATGTATAATTTGATTAGTAATAGACGTGCGTATCCGATTTTACCATTATCAGCGATGTTTTCGCCCAGTGTATTCTCGCCATTTATCTGTTGTGTAATAGAGATGAAAAGTTTTCAATTAAAAGCTATAAACTATGTAATTGGATGACGATTAATTGAATTTTCGTGTGTTCTGAGCATAAACATTGACCTTTGAGCTATAGAAGATTATTAAGGCAAATCTTTGGCTCTTCAAACCCAGTGATACGAATCTCAGATAAATTGGGCTAGATTCTAAGAAGTTTCAAAAGTCTTGTTTTGGCTTTTTCACTTTCCTGATTCATCATTCAGAATAAAATCTTTAATAAAATTATAGTTTTTGAGCCAAAATATGATCAATCTGATTTTGACTTAAACATGCTTAAACATTCTAAAATATATGAGCCTCGTCACAAAAAAATTGTACGTGAGTGACGCTTTGTTATTCGTGATTATCTCCTTATCCTTAAAAGTGACAAATTTAAGAGTTACTTTTTTGAAAAGGGAATTAAAATCCCCATCTATTGTTGTACAATTCACTTCATGAAAGTTTACAGTTACTCGAAAAAATCACTTTAACTAAGCTTTACTCACGTACAATTTTTGGGAATTTTGATATATCTTCATTATTGTTTATTGATATATCTTCAAATGTATTTTTTTAGGTTCAAAATTCAATTCTCTTCTTTTTGAGTACACAATGATTCAGATTCGGAAAAAATGTTCAAAAATTCCTTGTGCACAATACTTTTCCGACACATTAGAAAATTGAAAGTTTTTGTTAATTTCTCTTGATTTGAATCTTTTAGCATCTTCTAGATAATGTTTTCGTTCATTGCTCAAAAAATCAGTCCTTAATATAAAGGATAAACATGATTTTTTACCAAAACTTTGTAAAAGTTTATCAAAAAATATTGTGCATGATCAAATTTTGTATGAAAATTGATGTAAACTTTGAACGCAAATATCTCGAAGACGGCATCAAACGGCATGTCCCCAGTAATATGGGAGATAGATTTAAGCTTAATTAATTGATTTGTATAGGTTTCAGAGAGGTCTTTGGAAGACTTTTTAACTTATGAATAGTTTAAGTTTTGTAAAAATACTCAGATTTCAATTAATTTTTAAGGCTTAATAAGCAGATTTCTATTAAGTTTGTTGTTTTAATATGTAAAGCTAAGCTTAAATTAGCTAGCAACTGCTTTTAAGACATCCAAATAACAACTTAAAGTAGAAAAAATCATATTTTTTTTTCATACACAAATTGTAAACAAATTTTGGGTGAGATTAAATTAATGATTTCTGGAGTTAGACATCAAATTGGGACGAGATATTTTCATAGGATATGCCTTAAGTTAAGATCTTTAATCTGGCATTTAAAAGATGAAGTTTAATTAATATGTTATTTTTGAATTTTTGAACATTTTTTCCGATTCTGAATCATTGTGGAGTATATAAAACATTTAAAATTGCTGCATTAACATACCCAAATGGACAAAATTAAGTTTAAAAAATTTTAACGGTTTTAATTTTTTTGAATTTTTTCGGTTGTAATTTGTTTGTTTACAAACAAAATCGAAAATGAAATTTGAAAAGTCACGAAAATATCACTCAATAATGATGTAAAACCTCTTAAAATATTCGGAACAGCTAATGCATCATCTATTTTTCGTATTCAAATCATAATATTTGGGATTAATGATTGAATAATTAAGAATTTTGAGAATTTAATTTTTGATGTTTTGTATGATAGTGTTAGTGAAAAATTCAAATTATTTTTTTCTGTTAAGCAAAAATCCTTTACAAAACGTCTAAGCCCATATCGATCTTTTCTTCCTTTTCAGTCTCATTTAACATACTCACATAATCCCCGATTTCAGGTAAGTAGTATTCACTATATTGCTTTTTAAAACATTCAGTTCTATTCAGAAACTTCTGTATTGTAGTATTGGTCCACCAGAAGTTTTTATTCCCATCCTCATCGAAATGCCTCCCAATATCGTCAAAACCTAAACCAAAAATCCAGAATAAATATTTAACAACTTTAAAAATTCATGAGGAACATACCATGAGTCAGTTCATGCGCTAAAACAGTCCCAATACTCCCATAATTCAGTGCTCTAAAAGGAAATTGTTTTAAATCAAAGAAGTTTTTTTTTTCACTTCCATTCAATGTTAATGCTTTTCTAATATCACACAAAAGAAAATTGAAAGCATTTTATGAGCTAACAGGGAGAAAAACAGAGTGTAGGGATAAACTTGCATAGGTGCTCTCAAAGGAAAGAAAGTAGTGCTAAAGTGAAATGAAAAAAAAGAAACATTTGTGGAATTAGTAACTAACTTCCATTCTCATGTTTTTCCTTGTTTCCTGAATAGAGTGGAAATGACAGAAGAAATTGTATCATATGAGTAAGACTAGAGCGCAATGTTGAATCATTAGTCATTCGATACAGTTAATATCTGTCATAATTTATGACTTTTGCAGTACGTACATGAGACCTTGAACTATCAAATTGAAAAAGTTATGCTACATATTTACAAAGTAAATCCAACTCATCAAACTTGATCTATGCAGATAAAAATGATTGTAGTGTCGTGAGCAGTTTTTTTCATATAGACTTCTTTTTAAGTATGTGACTCGATTATGGAATCCGAGATTTGAATTCAGATCAACTTACAAAGACAACTAAAGTCAAAGAAGCAAGTTAATTCTTAAGAAACCGAATTGTAAGCAACAATGCTCCGACACTACACTACATCAGCCAAAGTGCAGATCTTCTCACTCACAAGTGCATGAAAAAAAACAAGAACTCTTACTCTAATCCTAGCTGATAGAATGGAAATTGTAGGATAGCAAACGGTATAGCTATAAAATATTTATGGAAAAGAAACGTTGAAGCTTAAATTGATACGAAAAAACAAATTTCATCACAAATTACTTATTGCATTAGATTGAAACGTATGAAAGGCGTTAACATTTGATGGTGACGATGCCCATTCCAGTTCATTTTTCATGCGGAATCTTGATAGCTTATCCATAAATTGCCACGATAACAACTCAATTATATTCTCCATCCATGTGTCACTTTTAATTTTTATCTTTTGAAGACGTGTCAAGTGAAAAGAATGAGTCGAAGAGAAGGGAAAATAAACAGGAATTGATTGCGGATAAAGTTAAATAAAGATTATCGATACCTACCCCCTTATAATGTCTTTCAAGTTCAGTTTTATTCAATATCCACTCGGGAAATCCAATTAAACTTCTCATTTTTTTCGATTTCCTCAGAGACTTCTCCTTCGTTTCCCAATCCATCCAACTGTGATGAATTATGTTATTAAAGGAACTTTGTATATTAGACAACATATTTTCCACTTTTGGTCTTGTTTCAATCATAAAGTTTTTCTCAACTATCAAATAACTAACAGCATAACCCATTAATTTATTTATTGATGTTGTACAGTATGATGAACGCGATGGTATACCTTCTACACCGGTAACAGTCTTTGTGTAATCATGATAAAGTTGCCTCATCGAGCTCGTCGTGTAAAGAATTAGTTCTTCTACAATCGACCACCATAAAAATGCTTCAAGATGAATTGCTTTTGTTTCGTAAATCAATTTTATTGCATTTTTAAGATAGAGGATGTCGGCATTGCTTGTTAATACTATATCTTCTTCCATATCGAAATGTGCTTCAGGTAAACCGGTTAACATTAAGGACATATATCTTTCAAGAATTGGAGAACTTTGTTCCTCACTAATGTCTTCATGTACTTGCTTCTGTAAGTCTTTTACTTTAATGTAAACTAAATCTGATAAATTTCCATCACGATCTTCAGTTTTTGAGGCATTCTCAGCCATATCTATAAATGTGTAGATATTTTTAGATATATTGACTGTAACTTGAATGAGTTTAGATATTCGATTTGCATTTCCATCTATATCATATGTTGGTGCTGCTTTCCGTATCAATTCATGGATGACTTCCTTCATATAAATATTGTATGCCATTAAAGCTATATCTTCCTCATCATCTATCGATATATCGTCATCAGTTTCATCCGTAACACGAGCATTTATATGAAATTTTCTCTTCATTCGTTTTATCTTTTTCGACAGCGCATCATCGACACTATTGAGGATGAAAGGAAAAAGGCAGGAAGATGATGAATGAAAAACGTATATGAAGTTTCTAAATGATACTCAAGAGTAATTTAATTGTAACAACAACTACAACTTACAGCGGCAGGTCACTCTCTTGTGATGGAGATCCAATAGCTAAGTAGTTTACGCTTCGATTTCTTGGATCATTAAAAACTTCAAATCCAATTAACTTATCAGCACCAAGAGATCTCTTTATTTTAACGATGCTCTTGATCCAATCAAAGTTAATGTTGTCTACATCTGGGTCTGACAAAAGTGTTGGTAGTTTTGGGATATTAAAAAGTTTCAAGTACCGAAACAACGCCTGAAACTCGAGTTTATCTATTGAGATTGTATCAACACATGATTTATAAAACATTTTTGCTTGCGATACAGGATATGGTTCCTCTTCTTTCTGTTTTTGTTGTAACTTTTTCCTCAGATCTCGAAGCACTGTTTGCTGTTTTTCTGTAAACCTAATTATGATAATATGAGGAGTAAGTGTATTCTTGATTTTTTTTTCGGAATAAAAATTTGGGTGCGTTCAAAATTGAAACATTAAGACATTTATGCATATATGCTTTCAAGTTTAATTTCTATCTTAAATAAGAATAATAAAATCAAAGTTTTTTTTGAAAACTGAATTGAACAACGGACTTGAAGTTGAAAAGTAACTCCATAATTTTTTGGCATAAGATCCAGTCTCATTTTAAGGTTCTATTCACGCCAGAGACTAATAGTATAACAAAAATTTCTTATTCAAGACATCATAAGTCAACAACACCATGATTACATATGTGTACATACCAATCATGTGATGTAGATGAATCTGGCAATGGGTGTTCTTGTTCAAAATTCCCACACATGTACTGAAAGAAGTCTTCACAAGGATTTGCTGTGGTATCCATGTTCTGAATGAATGTTGATGCTGTTCTTAAACAATCTAAGAAAATTAACAATTAATATGCTTGATAGATGATTAAAGGAATTAATGCGTTTAATACTCAATTGCGAATTTTGAAAGTGCCTTAAGCATTTCCGAATTAATCAAATTTTCAACAAAAAAAACCCTCTAAGGGGCCGTTCACTTATTACGTTACGCAAAAAAACGACTTTTTTTCACCCCCCCCCCCCCCTTGTTACAATATGTTACAACTCACCCCCCACCCCCTGAACGTTCATAATTTTATTTTATTTCTTTTAAATCTAAAAAGACGGTTAAATTTCTTTTGTATTTTTTTTTTTAAACATCAAAATACTGTACAGCTTAATAGGTCATGTTTTGATTGATACTATTAGTATTCTCATGAATTATTGGATTAAGATATAAAGCAAAAATTTGTTTTTTTATTTTAAAGAAAATTCAAAAATGTCATGAAAAATATTATGCCCGATTGAATTTTGGAAAATTCAATCAACTTTGATATAAATATTACAATGATGGGCTCATATTAATCATCATATGAATGACAGATTTAGAGAGATTTACTTTTAAACTTATGATTGATTTAATTTTGAAAATTTCCACAAATTATGATTGTATTTTAAAGTCTTGTAAACCAGTTTTCTATTGATTTGTTACTTTATATAATAAAAACTATGTATTGCTTAGCTATCAACAGTGATCTGGACATTCATAAATCATTGAAAAGGTGGAAAATTTAAAAAAAATGTTTTTGGTGTGAATTTGTAAACAAATTTTTTTCGTGAACTTTTTTTTAAAAGACAGACGACAATTAGAACGTTACATACTTCTTGACACCGCCCCCCCCCCCTCCCCTATGTTACATTTTTTTAAAAATTTTCAAACCCCCCCTCCCCCTAAAATGCGAACGTAATAAGTGAACGGCCCCTAAAGAAAATCTAAAATTACAAACTTCAGATTTCATCCTACATGCTTTCTTACATAAAGATTAAAAAGGAGGAAAAAGTCAAAGCATACTGCAGGAAATAACCCAATTTACTGATGATAATGGAATAATTTAATCATTAAAAGTTCTTGACTTTGATCCATAAATAATATCCTAATGGAATATACATACTCAAATATCTTCAGCACATACATAAATCTGATGAATATAATATGGTTCTCTCATTAGGATAAAGAACAATACTTACCTTTTGAATAGCAAACTTCATCTGTAGTTCTCACTAAAACAAACAAGCATATTTTCTCGTTATAAAGTTACACAATTGGATTTTCAAAAATATAGAATAAGATTCTTACTGCACAAATACATAACAATAATTGCAATTATTAATAGGAGAATAATCACAGCAAGTGATGTGAAAATTGTTTTGTGATAGTACTTCCGTCGGAATCTGATTTCACAAAAAAAAGGATAAAGAGAGAAAAGTTCTGAATGAAATCTAATGCTTTATTCTTCATTTATATTTGTTTACCTTGATTGCACGCCAACCATATACGAAGCTTTTGCCCTCTCGTTTTTTACAGCACTGCCATTGTGAATCTGCTGTGTTGGGGCTGAAAATGAAGGTATTATTGTTTCAAAACGAGAAAATGTCAATAAAAGACACGGCTGAAGTAAAGGAATCTATGATAGAGGGGAACATTCGTAAATAATGTAAATAGTAAAAAGCATAGCAGGGATGTCATATTGAGAGACCGTAAATACCAAACTTAATATGGTTACTTTAGTAAATTGAACAACTTTATGAATTAATTCTGATAGACATCATTTATAAACAACCACAATCAAAATGTTCATATGTTTTATGATACCAAGGAGATATAAGGAGCCATTCATAAGAGCATAATGAAAATTTAATACAGCAATTTGCACATAGCAAAAAAATAAAATCCCATCTGTCACGTGTAAGGACATAAAGTACGATAGGACATAGACGAAAGAATGAATGAAATGTCGAGTAAGGAAATGATGAAGCAACAAGTGGCATATAATGATTGTGCAGTGATATATGTAGAATGCTATGGACATGAATCAATAGCCTTAATGTATGTATACACACGTAAAAAAACCTATAAAATTGATTTCCCCGAAAGCATGTATGTAAAGAAGTCTGTTTGTTTGTTTGTTGATTATAATCTAGCTCATTTTGTAATTGTCATGAGTGAGTAAGTGAACGACATTATGAATAAAAAATTATCGATTGTCCTCATTTAATGTCTATTAAAATTACAAAGTTACTTACTTGCATTTTGAGTCTTCATATCCTCATGTGTCGTCCAAATTTGTCCATCAGATTCCATAATCACTAGCAACTTTGCAACAATGTAACAACTTTAGAACTTCAGTACTGTGTTAAGCTTAATGAAGGACACTTTGCATGTTCAGCACTGAAAATGTTCGTTACACAAAATGGAAAAGACGAAAAGGAATCAAATTATGTCACAAATTGCAATTTGAATTAAATATTTACATCACAAACAATTCTCACAGCAGAGTGCACAGTCAATCTCTAAATAATGCAGGAAAGAGGATATTCTGTTAATAAAATTAAGGTCACTAGAGAATAATTAAGTACCCTTGTACTTACTAAACGGACGAAAATGCTTATGATTTTAAAGTTGATTGCATTAATCCATTATTTAATCCTTGAAAGGCATAGAGTTAAAAGGACATTAAAATGGAAATTTATCAGATTTATTTCTTCATTCTTGAATATTCTAAATTAGCATTTATTAATTACCTTTTAATGTACACTTATGTGAAAACTTTGCAGGATAAAGAAGCAAATCTATATGCATAAAAAAACTTCAATACCTAACTTATGCTCCTATTTATAGCTTACCACCGGTTTAAGTCAAGGATTTCAATATTCAACGTTTATGCTTCGCCACAGCTGACACACAACTAACTGCTTATTTTATTTTCCAATGGAAACAAAAAAAAAAAAGAATGCAAATGAAATCACAAATACCAACAAAAATGAAATTCGACATTTAATGAATAAATGGATGACGTACATTCCATGATAGCATATTGCTTTAAATGAAAAACTATCATTATCAAGACCGTATTAAATATTAAATGTTGATGGAAATATTGTGTATGAACTGTAGAAAGAATTGTTGAATTAAGTTGTAACTTGAGCGCATAATAGTAAACTCTTAAAAAAGTACTCTCTAGTTTTGTAACTCTTTTCGCATGTTTGTTTCATTTTATTTTCCACAAGCTGATCTTTTTTCCAAAACAGTCACTGGATCTAAGAAATATCCTTTAAAAGATATTTGATTATAGTTTATTGCAAGCAAAGTTTTTCTTTAGATTATTCAGTTCCAAATCTAATGAAATTTGAATTCAAAACAAAAATGAAAATCGAAAAACTTATTTCGAATTGCTAAACTGCACAACATTGTCATCAACAGTTGATTCAAAAAGACAAATGTATCAAATTCCCTGTTTCATCAAATGTATCAGGTCTTTATTTAAATTACTGACATTTGATATAAAATGTTTAACGACAAACTTTTCATGACTCGATGAACTTTATGTGGAGTGGAATAACAAAGAATTTTGATACAATTTCAAACGGAATGTGAAGTTAGAATTCCTTAAAGTAATTTTGGATTTCTTGCATTCTTGTTCAAACGAATATTTTCAACCTGACACAAATAGTTGGTAAACATCCAGCCAACTGTAATATTTACAAAAACATTGATTGAATGCTTAGCTACACTTTACGAATGAACATTTTATTTTTTTTTTATGAACATTGTCTCATGTTTATGGGATCAGTGATTTTAGTTCATTGATGTAAACTGTTGGCATGTCAATTAATTTTACATCAATTTAGATCAATTTAAACAAAAACTCAACATCAACATTCAATAAAGCGAAAATTCCTGTTCACTTTACATTTGCAAATACAAACTATGCTTTTGTTAAAGCTTAATTTTCCAAAGAAGTCTTACACATATCACATGCTTAATTTTTAATCATCATTGATTATTTGCGTACATTTATCACGTTTTAATTAAAAGTAAGTCTTTGTTGGAAATTGGATTACTGCACCGCCTGAATCACAAAAATTCTCTGAAAAATCAGACTTTTCATTTCCCTTTTGCACAAACATTATTATTTCCATGGTTACCAATTGTTTTCAACGTTTTGCGGCTTTTCCTTTTTAATTCGTAACTTTTTTCCGCCTGGTTTTTGTTGAAAGGCTCTTTATGCTGTAATAAAAAATTAATGAAACACTGGATCTTATTTCACATTTTGACATTCTTCTTTGTTTTATTGAAAATTTCAATTTTTTTGTTTTGTGTCATCACAATTTTTTAACAATAGTTGAGTCTAGAGTTCTTCGAATAAAAGCTAGTTAAATTTTTACATTCTTAAAAAAAGTTTCAAATTTGATAAGATTTTTCGGCACAATTCTCAAAAGTGCATTTATTACGAAACAGGCACATTTGTGCTGGCTTTCTTTGTTTCATTGGATTTTATTCCTCTATTTTCCTTCAATTTGAGGATAATAATTTACTTTATAATTAATTTACTACCTAGTGACTAAATGAATACAATCCTCTTAAAATTCATAATATAGAAATATGTTGCATACTGATCCGTAACGTTACCGCCTTGTGTATTGCACAGAAATCAATGGCTTCAAATTTCATCGAACAATTAATTTTGCAAAATTAAAATTAAATTCGATCAATTTATTTTGACTTCAAGTCTATGATAATTTCAGAAAGAAGTGTTCATTAATTATTTTAACATAATATGAAGCCATTAATTGTTTCCGTGGAAATTGAGAAACACTTGTTTTAATAATGAGTAAGTTACAGATGTGAGTTATTGATTTTATTTCCATAACAATTGGTTTATATCAGTTTTCAATTAGATACAAAAATAGTAATTACAACTTTTCAATTCTCATATTTTTCGTCATTTAAAATATCCTTTATTCTAAATTTACTTCATATATTGGTCAGCAATGGGACAAACTTATTATTTCAGTTGTCTCATTTAAATTCATTGTTCTCGTCATAAAATGTTGAAACATTAGTTAAATTATTTTAATAGTAACTCTATCGGCCTGTTTCACTAAGGTGTATTATCCTCATTTTAGGATTGTCTATTTCTTCGATGCGTGGATATGGATTATCCTTAGATTATCCTAGGATAATCCTGAAGATTATCCGAATTTTCAATCTTGGGGGGACTCAGTTTAAACATTTCAGATTAATTATGTAGATAATCCTAGAATGATCACAGGATAATCTTCGGATAATCCACTTACTAGAATAAACTTTTTTTTGTGAAATCCAACGTCAAAAAAATATTTTCTTAAAACCTTTTTTTTCTGATTCACCGTGCAGTTTAATGAAGTAAAAATTTTTATCGATTATCCTCGGATTGAAAAATTGGATTACAAAACTTTTAAATCGCATTTAAAACCTCAAATTTACCTGAATGCTCATTAAACCTCATAATCACGACAGAAACTCCCACTTTTCATTTACACAACTCATTTTTCTGCATTCGACAGATTCAATTAATGGCAATGACGTCTTTTGTTTTGATCGTTCTTTGAAGGATTAACTGTGCTTTTCGTTTTGCATTATTGAAGGATTCAAGAGTATTAAAAGAAGATTATTTATGAACAGATCAACAATGGAAATGAGCAATTTAAATAAAATGATGAGCTTCTGAGTTCCATGAAGTAATGCTTAGCATTTTAAAATGTTTGCATCAAAGGCGTGCACTTTTCTAATAAGCATCAAAAGACATAGAGAAAAAGAAACCGAAATTTAAACTTATTGAAAACGAAAGATCAAACTTCGTTTACTTGATATACAATACACTTGATGAAACTTAAAAAGCACTGAGGTTTTCTGAGTATGAATCAGATTGCAAATTGAGAACCATTCAAATAAATATTGTTGAGGTGGCAAATGCTATGTTAAATTTCATATTAAATAGCACTTATTTAAGTTCATTAAAAAAAATCGGCTTCTTGCTATTTATAGATCAAGCATGTTAATTTGATTGAGATGTCAAAAATAACTTCAAACTTTGCAATATTCAAAATCAGATACAATTTCAACATAATCCTAATGTCATGATAATCGAAAAATTCTTCAAGCTCAACATCCAGACATATCTTGACATTTGCACGTATTCGTTCAGCACGACTTCACATTCATACAAATCGTTTTATTTTTTTGAGAGGTTTTTCTACCACACATTCTAAAACCACGATGGGTATCGATTCTCTTGAACTCGGCTTTTATTTTTGTACTATCCGAGTAAAGTTCTTGCAACTAATATTGGACATGATTTATTTCTTTGTTGTTCAATTGTAATTAACTTATAAAGATTATTAATTTTTGAAATATCCTTAACCTGCCGATATCAAAATTTCAAAACTACTCCTCGAACATTTTTATTATTTACTTAAAATTTCTCGTTATTTTTTATACACAATGACATCATCACTAGTCAATGTTTAGTAATTTCTATTTATTAATTATAAAATTCGACTTTTCAGAGTTTTTCTATTGACTGCAAAAATAAATATCTCTCTCTTAATTTTCTATACAGCTAAAAATTTTCATTTTAATTGTACCATCTGTTTCGTTTATGTCGTTTCTCGTCACTCGTTTTTTTTTTATTTGATACGTAATAACTTTAATGAAACTTATTAATTCACATATTTTTGTTAAATTATTGAAAACATCTTTTCCATCTTAAAAATACATAATTTGCCATCTGTATTTGATATGGATGAACTTGAATGTTCAATTTAAGCTCGAAAGGTAATCAGGAATAATTTATTGTTTTCGTTATTTTGCGAATTAATTGATCAGTAATGGCTAAATATAAAAATAATCCAAACATCATTCAATCTAAACAATCTTATTAGGCTTGATAAGTCCTGTCAAAATCAATTGAGCAATGATTTTTTCTTTGGTGTCCTTTTCCATAAATAACATTTGTTCATTAATTAAGATTCTTTTTATTAATTAGTCCATCGAGACATAACAAGACCTTAACAAGTTATGACTCTGATACAGACATTTATGCTTAAACAATTGCTTCGATGTAAATTAGCTTTTATTATCATTCATTTAACGATTGGAAGCTAGCAGTCTCTTAGGCAATTTTAAACACTGCAATTTTCCAATAATAAATAAATCCAGTACGGAAAGTTTCATGTGGTTTTTCAAGCATTTCATCTAAAGCATGCGTTGACTAAATTTAAAGTTGTCGTACTGCATATCTGCTAACAGGCAATGAATATACTTTTTAAATACACTCGATGGTATCGTCATGTCATCACAAAAATGTATGGGGCTCACTAGATTTTAGTTGATTTATAATGGACATGATGTGAGTATGTACAATGTCTATTAGAGATATGGTGCAATTTTAAAGTGCTCTCAGTCGTATTTTATCAGTCTTTTGAAAGTCACTTTTTGCACTTTTAGTCATGCAAATGACACGGAAGTACTTATAGTTTAATTCTGTCAATAATTTCTTATATTTTGTGGAACTTTTCAACATCGTAATTGCTTCATGTAATTCCCAAACGTGAGGATTAGGAACTTCATGAATCATTTAAGAAAGCGAACATATTCAAAAATTCCCTTAAGTCGCAAAATTTGGTCACATTGTAAAGTTTCGTTGCAACATTGAAGGACGATTGCACAATATTTTCACAAAGATGTTATAATTCTCGAGAGAAATGAATAAATCTCGTTTGAGAGTTTTTCAATTGCTTAAAATAAATTTTCCACAAAATGGTTTTACTCGTTTACATCTTTCCGCACTGTCATGAGAATGTTAAGCTAAAGGATATTTAAATAGAATTTAGTTTTCTTATTCTTAAAGCTTCTTTGAAAGAAATTTCATTTCTTTTACATTCCCAACACTTTTATTTCCCTTGCTTGAGGTGATATTCGTTACTTATTTGCTAACTTAAAGGACCGGATGTACGCTTTGAAACA